CCTACACCTATCTAGTGTTGGAATCTTTTTGCCGCGGTATAAAGAATATACATGTAAAACTGCTCACTGTCGCATTTACTCATATATTTGAATCAATAGTCCATGTGTTATGGAAAGCTTAAGATCCAGCTGTGGCTTTGGCTAAGTTGATCGGTATTGATGCGGCGGAGGATTTTCACTGATTTATTGCATTCTGTGGTAGGGATGATCTCTATGGTCATCGTCTGAATCCATGATTTCTATATTCTTCTTCGCAACAGAACGTATATGTACCACATTCCAATGATGACTGACATAATCTTACATACTGAGCGGTTGCATAAGGTAACCAAGTTAATGCAGTTTCATGGCCCAGCAGCCTCCTACAATGGTCTTTGATCTAACTTTATGGATTGAAGAAAGTTTCCCAAAGTCTTCCCGATGCTGTCGCGCTCAAAATCGAACTTGTAACGGTCCACATTCTCAGGCGCATAATTGACCGCGTGCACACCGTCTTGCAGTGCCAGCCATGCAGCCAACAGCGCGCCTTCCATGTTCCAAACATTTTCTTCCTCGGCAGTTTTGAACAGTGGATTATCGTGACCTTGATCAAGCCCCTGGGCTATGAAAGCTTCGGTATACTGCTTCCACCAATCCGTATAAGCGTTAAACCACGCTTCGGGATATCTCTCTTTCAAGTCGTCGTCGTCGATATTATCGCCGCCTTCAGGGTTTGCAGGCCACCCATAGGTGTACCACATGAAATTGGTTCCGTAGTCTGGCCAAATGGAGTATTTGTATCCTGGCAGGGAAGATCCGTGCTTCTCCTGGGGTTCTGGCCGTTCGTTCAATTGAGATTCAGATTCTAGTTGATCTTCCGACTCCAAGGGTTCCTCTTTGTGTATTTGGAGTAAAGGCGTATCTGCTGGCGGCTCATGGACGGAATCTTTCTCCTCTATCTTAGATAGGGGCTCGGAGATGGCCTGAGTGACTGGAAGTTGGGACTCGGCCGGTGCCGTAGGGGTGGCAGACAGCGGGTCTTTGTCCTCCGCCAAGCGAACTTGAAGAGAGTCGCCTGATAGTTCAAGAACAAGGCCATAGGGGGTAGTGATGGAAAAGTGAACATCAAAATTGGAGTGTTCGGCGAGTGCTAATAACGCCTTGATGGATGCGATGGAAGGAGCCATTGAAAGGTGAAAAGGGAAAGGTGCGGATTTGGTGAAGTTCTGAATATGAAGGGTTGTGGATCGTCTGAGCAACAAACTGGCTGAGGAATACTGGCCGTATTAGTATCTAGAAATTTGGGGCTGAGGCCGTGGCTGTGTCATCGCGAACAGTCAGAGGTAGTATTATTTCACTTTTTCCATTTACAGGGGGTAAAAGACTCAAGGCCAGAACAAGAGACCCAACCAACAACCTCCAAAGGTCCCAAACCAGCTGCGGAGGCCGCCTCACCTTTGGGAAATTTCCAAGCGCTTAAAGATAGACTTCAGGGCATTCCAACCATCGGCCGATTCTCCAAGCGCTTACACGTGATCTGATGCGTCAAGACCATGCAAGCGACCACCAAGCGCCTGCAGGGATGCAAACCCTTGATCAGACACCCGCAGCTACTCTTCTACCAACATGCTCAGTCAGCCCAGTAACATGCCGATTTTCCAGCTGCCAGTGACTGTGATCAAGGCCATGTATCGTGGCCACCAGCAGGGTCCTGGCGTCAATTGCAAAACCAACACGAACAGGTCGGCGTCAAGTTCTAAATCTGGAGATGAAAAAGCCGTTCCGGCTAGATAACACGCGGATGGCAACCAAGTGGAAAATGTACTTAAACCTTGGTCTCTACGCGGCTAAATTCTTGTTCATGACGCCTAGTCAGACAACGACCACGATCATTTCAGTCACATTCTATTCTTCCACTAAACCTTCCACGATTTGCCAATTGAGTTGGTGCCAATTTCTCAGTTCACCCGCTCACGATGTTCAAGTGAGTTCAGCTCTCATTGGAAGACTCATCCAGAGACTTAACTCAGCTGCTAACATGATCTGGCAACAGACAATCCGAGTCCGTTAAGCGTATAATACGTGATGTCCAGAAGGATGACAATCGCAAGATGACTCCCGACCAAGTCGTTCACGCCTGGAACGTGCCCATGACAAGCGAGATTCCTGCGCCCAAAGGAGCAAACAAACCCCTGCCCAACCTATGGATTGAAGAAGGAACTCCCAAGTCCGGCCTGCAACATATGGTTGGAAGCGACGACAAGATTGGTTCGTGGGAAGGCAAGGGCATCCCTAGGGAGCTTCAACGAGAGAAGATACCCATGTTTGTTGAGGCGGCGACTACGGCAGGTAGACGCATCACCACCCAGGGCTCAAGGGACGATCGTCACATCATGTCAACATACATTGAAGGCCGTGTGTTGAAAACTGCAGTTACAGTCGGAAGCAATGGGTATATTGTAGGGGCTAACCCCGCGAAGAAGTTCAAGGTTAAGCCGGGCGACCCGGGCGAGGTCAGCGATCGTACAGTGGAAAACTTGTACCGATATCCGCTGAATTGCCCGGATAGAAGGCGGACTGACGAGGCGAAAAAGGGGGAGGAAATGGAGCGCAAGGAGCCAGCTATGCCAAAGGCGAAAACCTCCCACCTGGGAAGGTTTTTCAACAGAGACAAGTGAGACGGTTCATGGAATTTCGATTTAGCAAACAAGACTCTCGAAGGCACACTGGATGTGCCAAGGCGTTACCGGCAGGCTTTTATTATCTAGTGCCTTACACCATAGTACCTACCATAGGTAGTTACTAGATTTACCTCAGGTTAGAAGCAGCACCTAAAGGAGACCTTGTGTAGCTTCAACCCGGTCCCATCCGCGCGTTGTCGCCGTCGCCGGGCATCTACTACCTCTCTTTCTCCCAACTTTACCAGTGTCTGTTGCGAAGGCGCCTCAAGTGCTTTACGTTGAAGATCACGTTCAATACTGACGACTTTGCTCCATAGACCGGGTCTTCCCATCAACTGCTAGACGGCGTACGCAAACATACAGTCCGACTATGTTTTCCTTGGATTCGCCTATGAATAACTCCGGAGTAAAGCTATATTACTGTAATAATGGTAGAGGCAAATACCGATGCCAAATAGACTTAGAGAACGGCTGAAGACGGTACACTGATGCTATCTAGTAGTTGGCGGGATAAGACCTGCAAACAGCGCGAACTACCTAGTAAAGTAAGTATGGAAGAGGTATTGGTCCCTTTACCTTTGCATGTTCAAGCGTGCAAGACACGGTGAGCTTTAGTTACGGCGTGATACCTATTTACTGTAAGCGCTGGCGTCTTTCGGTATAGGTAGGTTTGTAGACCGACTGGAAGGGCCCGTTGTGAGCAATGCTCTGCTAGTTCCTCGTCAGTTGGTGCTTATGGTTTCAGGCATTTCATCGCACGCAGGCGCTGGGAGCGGACCCGAAAGCCCATGGCCCCTGTATTCTACCCTAAGCGCTCGGAAATTCCTAAAAATGGGATGCGCCCACTCCAGTTGTTTTGATATCTCAATCGCTGTTGGTTTGGTCTGTTGTTTAGGTCTGTTGGTTAGGTCTTCTGGCCGTCACCCCTGCAAGTGGAAAAAGTGTCATAATAAGCATGGATGACAATGCTGCCTACTTTACCTACCTGTGTCACCTGTGGGCTCTGACTGCTGCAAGGCGCTTTTAGCACAGCAACGGGCGGCCTCATTCCCCTATTCTCACGATAATAAAATGTGGATTATCTCTCGACAGATCAGTCATTTGCTGAAGCTAATCAACATCTCATTTCTTCAGAATTCCATCGAGTCATTAATATTTTACGATGTCTCCTCCATTCAAATCTATTAAAGCACTACTGGCACTTGCTAAAGTTGAAATCCATTTTTCTATCACTACCCCCTATGGCCTTATCATTGAGCTCTCAGGCGACTCTCTCGAAGTCCGCCTGAAGGAGGACCTGAAGTTACTCCTTGCCAACACGACAGCGCAAGTAAAGCCAGAGGAACCATCAGCCATCCAACCTATGTCCGCACCCCTATCCCAGACGGAGGATCAGGAGTCGGTCAACGAGCCACAAACAGTGCATGTCGAGCCACAGGTCCCAGTCACCCAGGTCGGAGACAAGCCTCTGTCTCGAATGGAGGAGCAAAATTCAATCGAGCAGTCACAGACAGAATCGACATCGGTGCAGGCTCATGAAGAGAATTCCTTGAAGCCAGGCCACCAATCAGAAGCTCTACCAGAGTATGGGCCTTCTTTACCAGGATATAAATACTGCATTTGGGAGGACTTTGGGACAAATTTCCTGTGGTACGTCTGGAACTGGCCCGCGAATCCCGAATTCTGCGGCGAGCCTGTCGAAGACGACGACCTCTTAGAGAGATATCCCAAGACATGGTACAAGGCCTATGACGACTGGGTCGATCGATACACGGAGGCTTTCAGGGCCCACATAGAAATGAACGCCGATAATCCAGTATTCGACACTGCCAAGGAGTTGAACCTCTGGGAATTTGAGGGCACGCTTTTGGCTGCGGGGCTGACTCTACAAGATGGTGTTCATGGAGTGGGTTACGGAACAGAGAAGAATGACGGCTCGTATGCTCATGAATTCGAATTCGAACGCGAGGGCTCCGAGAGTATTGGAAAGACTTTGGAACGATACATTCAAACGAGGATATTGGATCAAAACCTGGATATTGGGGTATGATGCATCGAATGGACCATGGTTTACCTTACACTAGCCCCAGAATCCAGTTGTCCAGAAATATGTAGAATCGTTACAGCCATCGTCCGCGTATAAATAAGTAAACATATTGATCAAATCAATTGCGGTATTAGCGTTTTAGACAGCGTTGATTTAAATAGACCTAAGGAAACATGACTCAAAGAAACGTGACGTGATCCAGTGTTGATCGATGTGTAAACTTCCCCAGAAACTCCTTCATGCTCTCGACATACCCGCAGAATAATCCAAACTAAAAGATCTCAACTCCAAATTTAGTGCGCCACCTCGGACCCGAGCCGCCTGAATCCCAAGCGACTCCATCGCTCCTTGGCCGGAGACAACAAATCTCTCTTCTTCGGCGCCTGGACCTCAGTCTCGGGCTTACCGAGATCCCACTTGATCGTCTCGGGCCACACAAGGCTCGTCTCCTTCTTCTCATCCGCTGCCGACCAATTCTCAATGGACGGCACGTTGAGCTTACCATATCCTCTCAGTCTCTCGAGGATCTCACTTGTGTTTCTCACGTCACCGCGGGTGGCCCAGCCACATCGTCGCATGCCGTCGAGATGCATGTCAGCCGCGGCACGAAGACGCTCATCCTTATCCGCGCCTTGACTTGCGGAAAGGTGCTCGTCAAGATCGCACACAACATCCAGGTGCACACGTCCAGCATCGCGAAGACGCTTGGCGTGGCGCAGGAGGTAGGCTAGGCGGTTCGAGAAGTAGAATGCGGAAGAATCCAAGCCACCACGAGACTGACGAACGTTGTAGTATATAGTTTCGCAGAGGGTGATGGCTTGGTCTAGGTGACCCGCAAGCTCGTGCGCGTTGACCAACAGGGAGCCGATTGTCAGCACGATATCAGGAGACCACACGCCACAGTTGCGCTGGACCTCTCTGGATCGCCAAAGCGAGGTAAGAAGGCTCTGAAAAGGAACAGTTAGTATAGAGCACAAAGCTGTGAGTCGTTGAAGACTGTATGAAACTTACCTCGAGTTCTGCCCAGTTCTTCTGCTCGCCAAGGAGGCGAACAAGTCCGGAAATGTCCTCGAAGCGAAGGCTAGTAAACTCGACCTTATCGTCTCTCAAGACCGTCATCACATGTTGCAAGATGTTGCGGCTGATAGACAGCAGCTCATCCTGCTGTTGATTGCCGGCAGACTTCCACGTGTCTACGCGGATGCCAGCCAGGACCTCGGCGAAACGAAAGCCCCAAACGTAGCAGTTGCGCTGGTGATAGAATCGCTGGGATTGCGCAAAGTCAAATCCACATTGCGCGACTTTCTGAGCTCTGACAAAGTCCTTCTCCTCAACCATGAGTCTTCTGACAGCAGTGTAGGCGGCCTTGCAGGACACCAGACCAAAGTCGACAGTACCCCTATCGGCAATGCCACCGCCGATCTCGTTGAGAAGCGCGACGTAGAAGGCGAATGTGGCATTCCTGTCGTCTTGGGAGCTTGAAGACTTGAAGTAACGCGAGGTGAACAGGGCGAAGAGCTTCTTGTCAAGGACATCCACGAAACCGTTGCGGCCACGGGACTGCCAGACGAAGCGGAGGCGGGCTGCTGGCTCAATGATCGTCTCGATCCTTGTCGAATCGGTGCACGTAGCCATAACAGACATGTACTGCTCGTAGAGAACTGTCTCGAGGAGCACATCTGCCATCAGCTCTGAGAAGCTGTACCGTACCTTGGCATCTCCGTTGAGAGCCTGCTCAAACGAGATCAAGAATACAAGGTACACCTTGCTCGACTGGCCGGAAATCTTGATGTTGACATCCTTCTCTCCGCCTTCGAATCCAGGGAAGAGAAGCAGGTATCGCAGCTGTCGGAGAAGATCCTGGCCATAGTGGACCATGCCCGCAGACAGGTAAATGGACGCCAGCGTCTTGGCTGACGCATGGAGGTTCATAGAGATCTTGACAGTAGTGATGATCTCAATGATAGAGACCTGTAGAAGCTGGGCGATGGAGGAGTGAGCCTCCTTGTTACCAATCTTCTTGTACAGCAAGACGACTTCCTTGAGTTTGGACAGAGTCTTCTCGTGCCACCAGCCGAACTCAATCTTCAGCTGGGCGTATATCTCAAGACTGACTCCGATCGCACGATCGATGGTTGTGGTGGTCGTCACCTTGTTGGTTGTGATGACAGTCACGTAGAGCTTCGATAGACGCTTCTTGATCGTCCTGACGGTGGTCTCTGAGATAACGTTGGTGGTCGTAGTCTTCTTGATAACCTCCTCGTAGATGGTAATGGACTCGTGGTAGTGCTCCTCGGAAGTCTCACACAACTCCGCCAGAGCGATCACAGCCTTGATGACGATGGCAGCATTGGCGCCAAAGACCTTGGTCGCGGTCTCGCGATACTCAATCGTGAGCTTGTAGCGAACCGAGAACTCGACCTTGGCGTGGAACTCAAGGACATATCGGTATCGCTCGTAAATGAGCTCAACGATCTCCTGCGTGAACTTGATCTCACGATTGTGATGAACAAACGTGGTCCAGAGCGTGACGCAAATCTTCTGCAGCTCAGCCCAGCGCTTCTCAGCGTGGTAGTGGTTCAGGACGATGATGGCTGCATCTAGTGCACTTCCATGGCAGCACCCGTCCTTGGAGAAGATGGTGACGATTTCGCCGTAGCAGTCATAAGCTTCTCTGCGGCCAAGTTTGTGGTAGACGGCAGCGAGCTTGTAGAGAATACTGACTTGCAGGCTGTGACCAGATGACAAATGTCTACGGTAATGCTGCAGGAGCTTGACGTAGATGTCAATGACCTTCTCGTGACGGTGGAAGTCTTCATAGAACTGAACCAGGGCCTCGGCCGCCTCGAAGATCAACACATTGTCGGCCTTGAGGGTCGAGAAACAGGCGTTAAAGATTCGGAGATAGATCGCATCCGCTTTCTCGAATTGTCTTTGGCGATGATAGCAGAGAGCAAGACGCTGTGCGACAAGTATGCGCTCGGAGATGAACTCGCCCTCGATGGTCAACTTGGAGTCGACTGACAAGACGCCCTTCCAAGTGATTTCGAGAGACTGGCGAATCACAACCTCGGCTTCGGCCCAATTCTCAAGCTTGAGATAGAGGTTGACCATCGCCAAGCAAGACTTGAAGAAATTTCTATCGGCCTTGCGACCACGGCACCGTTGGTAGTTGGTCTCCCAGATCTCCCTGGTGACGGTCTCAACGACGGTGGTGGTTGTCTTGGTCTCGACATAGGTCTCGGTGATCTCCTCGACGACCTCCGTGATGATGGTGGTAGTGGATTGAGCCTCTTCGCTCTCGACAGTCTTCCTCTCCTTGAACCAGCCCCAGACTTTCTTGAGGATGGACATGGATACGCTGAGGATGCCGAAAGACTTCGCAAGAATACCAAGTTCCCTAAGGCGAATCATGATAATCTCGGACTCAAAGGACTGGTTCTCGTACTCGGCCCAGACGCAAATCATGATGTTGCAAGCCTCCTCCGTTCGCTTGACGCGCTTGAGGAAGTTGATGTACTCGATGGCAATGTTGATCTTCTGAATGTGAAGCTCGATTGTCACCTTGCTAGTACGGCAGACTTCGAGAATGCCCCGCCAGAGGCTGATGTATAGCCTCTCAGCTTGAATTAGGTGGCCCTTGGACTCATACTCCACAGCTAGGCTGATGAGAATCTTGATGCGACGGACGTCGGTGAACGACAAATCGTCCGCAGTGTCGAACAAGAGCGAGTGCCACTGGCTATGGTTGTGGATCTTCTTGTCGCTAGCCTTCAGAACGACGGTCATGCCTGAGATGGCTTCGGCAATTGACCCCTCCTTCTTCGAGCCCTTGCCGAAACGGGCGGTAATTATGATATGAAGTTCGCTGTAGATAGACATCGCAAGCTCTTCTTCCTTGATATCGATGTAGAGTTTAGCGAGCGCCTCATACCATTTGATGACGGCATCACTGCGGGCTCCCTGCTTGCTCTTGGAGATCTCAATCATGAACTTGATCATCTCTTCACGGTGCGTAACCGTTTGAGTGCGCTTGGTGAAGGTGAGAGTCTCGGTGCAAGTGAGGAACAGGTTCGTGCATGAAACCACGAGAGGGCTGAACTTGTAAAGGATAGTCTGCCCAAGATGCGAAGCCTTGTAAAAGAACTCGGCCGCGAAAGCATGCTCAGACTGACTCCGGTGCAGGCTTCCGAGGATGATGAGACTTTGGAGGTATGATCGGTTCTTCTCGCCGAAACAAGTAGAACGGATCCGGAGACTCAGGCTATGCATCTCAATGGTCTCCTTGATGGCGTACTGTGTTTGCCAGTAGTGCCATTCCAGCATTGTGAAGAAGATGGAGTCGGGGAAAACATCCTTGAACTCGGAAGTCAAGGTGATGGTGCCGTTTTGGCCGCAAAGTGACGATGAGCGGAAATGGGAAACCCAGTGGCGCACCATGTAGCTGACGATGTGGTACGCTTGGAAGCACTCATGGAAAGTCTCCTCGGCAACCAGTTCCATCGACGGCTCACAAGTATAATTGCTGAACTTGGTCTTGGCAAAGAGAAGGAGGGCCATGGTGAGGTGGCGGTGGGAGTCGTGAAGAGACATGAGGGTTGAGCCGCAAAGGCTCTGGACGTACTTCCTGATGGTGGAGTGCTTGAACCGCAGAGTACCGTGGCGGATCACCACAAGACCTTGGGTGTTGCTTACAGGCCCCTTGACATCAGCACCAGAAGAAACAGTGCGTGTCGACAACGAGACTCCCAGGAGGTCTGTCATCTCACCGAGTGTGAGCGGGCGCTGGGCGGTGACCATGAACGTCAATAGGTTGTAGGTCTTGCTCTCGCCGTACTCCTCCTTGAGGTTGACCTTCTTCATCAACTCTCCAATGACGGCTTTGACGTCGGATTTGCAGCCAGCGATGATGCCTCTGAAGACTCCAAAGTCCGAGACTGCGGAGAAAAGCCTTCTGGCAAGGTAGGCAAATAGAAACGAACCCTTGGCCTGGTCCGCAAGCTGGCAAAGCAAGTCCCTTCTTGCCTGTTCGCTCTGTGCCACAAAGCAGCAGCTTCGCCCAAGTCTGTTGGCGAGATAAAGCTCAATATCGTCCCGAACGTGATCAGGGGTGACGACTACGTGCTTGCAACCGCTGCCGCCAAGGTGTGAGATGGGCCGTGAGAATGTCACTGCTTGGGTCCTGGGAAGCTTTCCTATGCTGGCGTGGAGGCGCTTGTGAAGCTCCCCTGCCTTGGTAGCGCCACCTGAGACCTCATCGAGACCGTCGATGATGATGCTGAGATTGACCTTCTTACTGTTAATTGAAGATAAGCTCGAGTCGAGGGCCTCCCATAGGTCACTCTCTAGCTTTGCGCTGTTGTGGTAGGGCGAAGCATGATCAAAGATGGCTTCGAGCTTCTCAAAGAGAGCGACATCACCAACGTTAATCTCGAGGAGCTGAGACAAGAGGCTCTTGAGGAAGGCGATGGGGGTTGTCTCCGAAGGGATATCGGTTGCTAGGGCCCAAACATCAGCTCATGCATCACTCGCGGAGCGTATAAACACCGAGAGAACTTACAGAATGTGTAGGAGATAGTCTCATACTGGACACGGTTGATCGGGCGTTCCAGCCTCTCCCGTACCCATGCGGCAAGCATACTTTTGCCGCAGCCCTCTCCGCCAGTAACAGTAAAGATCTTGTCATCACTGCTGAGGAAGTCATGCAAGTCATGCGAAAGCCACTCGCATGTCCCATCGACACGCAACTTGCGATCGGCAACACGCCCATACACATGAGACTTTGCTGATTCCCGTGTAGGGAGCAAGTGACGACGAAGTGTGGTGATGTCTAGTCGGCGGTTCTTGGAACCGAGTTTGTACTGCCACATGTGGTTGAAGAGGTTCTCTCGCTGGGTCCAGATCCTGGTGATCTGTGAGCCGAACTGGGCGTCAAAGTTAATCGTCACCGAACCGCTGTAGATGCTGTTGATCCGGGAGCGATAGTAGAGGGTAACATCACCGACGAGCTTGAGCATGCTATCAAAGATGCGACTCAGCTCGTAGCGGATGGCATCGCTTGCGGTGAACATGCCGTTGAGTCTGATGGCGTGACCGAGCACTGAGCCAAGCTCATACAGAGCATTGAAGGTGGGCTCCAGTGCCTGTGCTTGATCGTGTCCGAGCTGGTTGGGGAAGTGTCAGCGTCGGCATCGTAGCCGGGGAGTTGTAAGACTATTTGATTTACCTCAAGCAATAGGTAGCAAGTAGCCAACGCTGTGTCGCGCACAAGCGAGCAGCCCTCGATGAAGGACTGGATGTGGCGCGAGTATTCGTCCAGCTGAAGACCGAAGAACTCGGCCGACTTCAAGACGCGATCCCACTGACTGCCCTTGGGAGGCATGTGTGTCAGACGCTCATCGGAGATGTATGCCAGGTAAGCGTCTAGATCGATGGTCTGGAAGTGATTGTGGGTGACTTCCTCGACCTCGCGGACGAGCTTCTTCTGGATACGTCTGGCCGTGTCAATGACACGCACGACGCGGTATGACATGTGGCCGTCGTTGGAGGCGACCATGGTCAAGGCGTCCAAGCTGATAGACGACGACCTTGAAGCGTCGCTGACGTTAACTTCGTCAATGTGTACGGCGCTGGACTCCTGCTTGATGGAGTTTCGGGCCAAAGAGCCCTGGTTGGAAGTTGCGTAGACGGACATCTTTGTGTCTGCTACTGTTGGTACGTCGTCGATAGACTGGCTGTCTGAGCTGACCGACAAGATAGATGAGGAGTTCGAGGGCTTCCTACGACCTGTTTGAAGACGTACACTTCAGCGGGGATTATTCATGGGGTAATGTTGGCAGTGGAACGAGGGGAAAGTAAACACACTCAATGGGTTTCTGCGGAATCCAAGCATTCTCAGATGGGCAGTCCTGAAGCTTTCCCAAGTTTATGGGAATATTGCTTCAACTTATAAGCAGCTTGGCTAGTATCAAGGGATCCCGAAAAGCGTCTTCTTCTCGTACACCAGCATGGATGAGGTCAACGGGTATCCCGAGTTTTTACAAGGGCTGAAGATCATATTGCTCGTGTGAGACACGGGCGTCCCCAGGTTGACCATGAGTGGCCCAAGAAATTTAACGCAATTCCCTCAAGATGCTCGCATCGCAGAATAGCACCAAGGGCATGGTAAAGTTCACCTCGGTCTGCCGACTGAGCTTCGTTCCTAGAGCCAATGGGATGTTACGCAAGAAAGATGTGTCCTAAGACAGTCAAGTCTGCGCTGAAGGAGGGGGAATGAGATGTTTGATAATCCGAATCATGTCTCGATGAACGGACAACCCCTCTTCCCGAACAGATGGTTGGTGTATGCAGCAGGAGCTTCAGAAATGCATGTTAATGTGAAAATAGTTGTGCTGTGAAAACGTTATCACCTTTGTGGCTGGCTGGCCTCGATGACGGGTTCTCAAAATGGCATTCCCCGCTTACAGAAGTGAGCGATGTTTGGCGATGCGACCGTTCGAACCGGCACTTCTATCTGATGGGTCGTCGGTGCCTCCGGCTGCTAGAGATGTGTAACCTTTGCAGAGCTAACCCGCGAGCGGATGAAGTTTAGAATCATCTCCACAAACGCGTGAAGATCGCACCCATTGGCAGAAAAGAAAGCTACGAGGCTTGCAGGTGTTGTGACTATTGAAACTCAGCACCGCAGAGTTGGAATGCCTGTACCAGAGCTGAAAGTTGCTGATATGTGATGCTTCTCAAAACGGAAATGTGGCGTTTTCACGGCCGACTGAAGCGGACTTGCCGGATGCGATGCTAGCCCGAGCTGGAAGTCCGGGGAGCGTGTCTCTACCGATGATCCACACGCAGGGCGGAAGAGCTTCGTTGCGTGAAACTAGGTCTAAGGATGTGGTCAGCGATTGGTTCTCTTTAACTTTTGTGGCTCAACCCCCGAACCGAGGGACACGAAAACGTCCCATAGTGCTGAGGACTCGGCTGCAGAATCCCCAAGGGCCCAACGTGCTAGGAGCTCCGCGGTTTTGGGATCAATCGAGCCCTCGTCCTGATAGACATGTTCCACAACGGACACTGGTGGGATGCGCAGCGTGGCAGACAACTTTGGTTGGTTTGGTATGGAGTGAATGATGAGGAACCTAAGCTAGCAGCGATGTCTCATTTCGAAAGTCTCGTTAATCCATGCCAGTTATCGTACACGATGCATTTTGCTTGCAGACTCTCTCCAGGGCTTTTGTGAAACACCAACGCCCAGGTGACCATGTGAGGACTAACTTCAAAGAGCTCCTTGTCGGCTGTTACTCAGTCGCGAATTGGAGCACGCTTGGCATTTTTCTAAATGCTGTGTCCTACATCGCGTCCGACATCCTCATGGAAACCCATTCCGTTGCGAATCCGACTCTCAACCTCAACGACGCGCTTAGGAAGCATGAAGCCCAATCCGAAAAAGACGAAGAATGCCCACTTCCAGCGGAATGGGTTGAAGGTAACACTGAAGGCGAACCACCAGATGAGCTCGAGATAAGTGAAGAAGTCGAAAGCACCGGTAGGCGACGCGGATTTCAGAAGCTTGGTCATTTCGATCCAGGCCTTCATCCAGAAGGGATGGGGTCTTGTCAACGGGTCAATGAGGAACATCAGAAGGATTCTGGTATAGATGCCGATGTGCCAGTTTCCGACCGTGCCGATAGCAGCAACGTACGTGCTGTAAGTTGTTAGGGCCAAGTTCATTCGCAGGAGCTGTTAGCAAGATGCTTACCAGTTGATAGCTGAGATAGACGGGTGGTTTGGAGGGAAAGTCTGGATATACCAGTTGGGAGGCGAGTACGGCTCGTTGAAGCAGTCATCAGGCAAGAATTCCAGGGACGGGCGCTTAAATCCAGTGGCCATGACGATGATATCGGCCGGGATGACCTGTCTTCTGCCAGGGCCGCCCTTGGGTACACCTTGAGCGCGTCTATTGACAATCACACCTTCCGCCGTGAAGCCCTCAATATCGCAGCGAACCCACTCGGCGTGGCCGGACCGGATGGTCTCCATGACATGGCTATTTACCATTGGCGTATCCATGTAGATGCCCTTGTCGTACGGTGCGATGTCTTGCAGGTCTCGGTAGAAAAATTTGCGAAGCAGCGTCTCCGGGATCCAAGAGAGACGAGTCTCTTGACCGAGGATGTTCATAGCAAGAAGCATGTTCACGATGGGATTGCGAGGGATGATCCACTTATCGCTGCGAGACAGAATGGAAGTCTTCTCAGCTTCCTCATCCACAGCAAACTCCAGAGCTTCAACGGCGCTGGCACCACCTCCGATGACGACGAGCTTCTTGCCCTTGGCGTTCTTGCTGTGAATTTGGTTAGCAAACTTGGGGCCAAAGGTGGGGAACATACATACCCAGTAAGCTGGCTGGAGTGGTAGATGTTGCCCTTGAACTTCTCCATCCCCGGGAGCTGGGGCATCTTGGGCTCTCCACAGGTACCAACAGCGGCGATAACGCCTTCGAAGTGGCCATTCGCAGTATTGTTGACGACCCATCTGCCCTTCTCATCCTGATAGACCTTTTCCACGGGTGTGTTGAATTTGGTGCGTGTCTCAAGTCCATATTTCTGCCAAAGCTGCTTTACCTGGCTTAGGATCTGCTGTCTGTCGGGATACCCGCGTTCCCACTTGACCGAGGGGTGGAAGCGGAACATCATGGAGTGGATTTGAAGACTGGACGAGTTGTTCACTTTCTGTGTGATTCGTTAGTACCAAGCATGGGGGTGTTGGGCTTCAATGGGCAACGTACACTCCAGATACCACCGAGGTTCTCGCGGCCACCGGCCTCGAAGATGACCACATCAAAACCATGGCCAATGCAGTGCGCGGCGGAAGTAACACCAGTGATACCAGCTCCAATGACAGCAACCTTGGGTCGACTGAGGCGAGTGCTGGGCTCAGGAGGGGTGGGCGAGAAGATTTTATCGGCGAACCATTGCCATATCTGGAAGACGAAGAGGAAGGGGTGGAAGAAGGGATTCTCTACACGAGATTCGGACGGCATCGTGGCAAGTAGGCCGCAAGCCTTGGAGGGAATCGGTGGTGTTGGGGAGCAGGTGTACAGCAGCTGGTACAGCTGGGTGTGTGTTTGGAGTGAAGCAAAAGGTGTTGATCACGATGAGCTACGATGCGAAGGAAGGGAGAGGGCACGAAGCTGTATTAAACCCTATGTGTGTCAAACGGAGTAGGTACTTTCCGAACTACTTACTTTTGCTACCTATCTGTGGATGAGTGATGAGCCTAGGGAGCTTCGGGAGCTCTGGGCAGGTAGCTGGCATGTGAGCTCTCCTTCCCATTTCCCCTGGTGCTAGTACTGCCGCTGCCGCTGCTGCTGGTAGGCAGTGAGTAGGTAGCTGCTGCCAAGGTGAGCCTGTAAGGTGAGGTGAGACTGAGACGACCGGCGAACAGGCCCACCCGATTATCGACAATTGACGTCACCAAGAACGCTAGGGAACCCATTGAAACGCCCGCATTGAAGCATGTGAAGACGAGGGTTTGGCTCAGTCTCGCCAGATGTCTCCCTAATTGGACACATACGGGGACAATTCAGGGGGGGGGGGGGGCTTGGGCCGTCATCCGGTCCAGTCGTTGGGAAAACCACGCAGTATTTCTTCCGGGATAAAAGGACGACCCAATGCCATGACAGAAACTCTGTGTACGAAGTATACCTTACAGATACAGCGTCTGTGTGAAGGGTAAAGATGAAGAGAAATTGACATGGGAATCAAGGTCGGACTGGCTCAACATGGCAGGGCCTTGGTGCATAGTCCGAGAACCAAGGGAGAACCAAGGCCTTGGTCAGTGAAGCTGGTTGGGCCGTCGCGGCAGTCTAGAGCTAAAGAGGCATTTTTCTCGTCGGGGATTTTGGAGATCAGTGGCCGATCGGATCCCCTTCCGCCTTTTCCCGGCCTGCCTTAGCGCTGCCAGCCTGGTTCAGCACCACCAAACAGTTGAAAAATCCAGGAACACGCTTGAAGCGCATCTCACACACATGACACACAGACAGGAACACAATGAGGTGATTCATTCCTTTTTTAAAGTTGAACGAACCGGGAATGAATTGGCTCCTAGAACCTCGGCACAGCTTTTTGTGATGGCCGCTGCTAATGCTGCTGCTGCTCCGTGTATATCGTGGGTATCTCCGTCTATCGCTTGCCTCTGTCGCGTCTGCCCGCCTCCAACATCTTGGCCTTCTTCTGGAATCTCTCGCCCATCTCGACTTGGCCACTGCCCCTGGGTCCGTCCGCAGTGTCCCGGCCACGCTTCCGGCTCTTGTCGAGGATGTCGCGGCTGCTGCCGCCACCGCTCTTGCGGGCCGTGAGTCTGTTGATTCGGTCGACGCCTTCGCCGAGGTCTCTCCACTCCTCTCCGCCGAATTGCATACGCTTGCCGTTGCCGGTACGCATAGCCTCCTCCTTCTTTGCCTTCTTGCTCGACGTGGGGAGGCGAGTAAAGTTGGCTTCTTCGTATTCGCGACGCTCGTCTTCCGTCTTGCGGTCCGCGGCCGTCTTCATCCTGCGACCACCATTGACAATAGTCGTTCCGATACTGGGCTCGGCGATGGGAGCAGTCGACAGCTCGTGCTCGATGAACTCGTCCATGGTGTGAGACTTGAGTGGGCGGCGATCAGACTTCTCTTTGCGCTCAGAGGGCATGATGGTAGGCGCAATTCTCGGGGGTCGGTAGACTCCATTCTTCGCCGCGGTTGCAACAGCAGAGGAGGCAGCGGCGGGTCTGACAAAGGCATCTGGCCGAGCTTGAAGGTGGGCTGCCTTCATCTCCTCCTCCTCCTCTTCGTCACTGCCGGATTCTCCGTCAGAAGCAGAGTCGTCGGAGTCGTCAGAGCCTGCACCTTGCGCGGCCTTGACTGCTTGGGTGTTCCGTTCGGCGTCGTCCGCGGCGCGAAGAATCTTCTCGATCTGGTAACGCAGCTTGTCTTCAAGGGGCCGGACACCCTTCTCGAGGTACAGTCGGAGTTCGACCAGCTTCTTGACAACCGTCTCCATAGTTCCGCCGGCATTGTCGTCGTCGCTGGATTGCTTCTTGGCGTTGCGCAACTTCAGAAGGATCAAGAAGACCAGATTTTGCAGGTAGGAAGCAAGAAGCTCATTCTTGGTATCGAGAAGTGAAATTCCATTTTGAGGCGGCGCAATGGAGCCTTTTGGTGCCGCGTCGAGTGATGTCGTCAATGACTGCGTCAAAGAATCCAGCAGCGCTGGAAGGGTGCTTGGTGCCGCCATTTTGAATCTGGCGATGCTGTATGTTGTTCGTTGAAAAACTTGAGACCGCAACGGAACAAGAGCGCGGTGCAGGATTTTTTTTTTTTTGCAACTGCTAAACCGATCTGCGCTATTGCGGGGACCGGTGCATCGGACCTTGTGGACCCCGACCACCGGTCTCCGCCAAGTACCTTACCTAGGTATGGATGTTTCCACGCTGGGTTCCTCAGGCCCAAGGTACCGGGCAGCCGAAAGACCCCGGACAGACAATGTTCCGGCTGGTCCAGTCGGGTGTGATTGAAGGTACCTATGTGTATGTACTTCAGGAGCTGAGCTGCAGGGGTGCATGGTGACTAAGCCACATTTGGGACAGTTGTTCGAGAGGCAGTAGGAGCTCCTGTAAATGAGATACGAAGCTCCCGGACCTGACACAACAAAGGCAATTGGCCATCTGTCCACCATAGAGCAACTCTGCTTCTTGCACAAACATCACCGCGAGCTCGTCGTGTTCTTGACGAACCGCTTTTACCACCATCATCCAGGTGCAGACGGAACCCGGATGATCCACGGGCTATAAGCCGCTTTGCGCTACCTGGACCTTACCGAGAACCAAGGGTACGTAATCGCGATCCATCTATCGGGGTAGCTATTCCCATCGGTTTCATGTTTCACGCTACTTTGCCTTTGGCCACCCTCTTCTCATTCGCAAAGTACCAAGACTGATCGCAACTTTTGGGCAGAGCTCTAACATCTCGACACGATGCAACTACGAGACATGGCGCCTTCGTCGGCGCTCGTGGCCTCTTTGCTGGCTATCCCACAGCTCGCTTCCGCCTTCTACTTGCCAGGTGTTGCGCCTACCTCCTACAAGAAGGGCGACGTCGTTCCTCTCTACGTGAACAGCATCAAGCCGGTCGCCGCTCCCTCCGATTCTCGATTGCACTCAATTGTTTCCTACGACTACTACCATCCTGGCTTCAAGTTCTGCGAGCCCGAACCCCGTCCTGAGTATGTATCGGAGAGCCTGGGCAGTATTCTCTTCGGAGATCGCATCATGACCTCGCCATTCGAGCTGCGCATGAAGAACGACGAGAAGTGCAAGCCGCTTTGCATCCAGAAATACCCCCCGGCGGCCGTCGGTTTTGTCAAGCGCCGCATCGAGCAGGGCTACAGCTTGAACTGGCTTGTGGACGGCCTGCCCGCCGGACAGCAGATTTACGATGACTTTACGAACACAACTTTCTACAACCCTGGGTTCTTGATGGGCGGCGAGGACGAGAACGGCAACGTCATCTTCAACAATCACTACGACATCAACGTTGAATACCACGCCGTCAACGGCGATCAGTCGCAGTTGCGCGTCGTCGGTGTCGTTGTCGAGCCGAGCTCGCGTGCCTACCCGGGTCTGCTCGACTGCAATAACCAGATGGAGCCCATCATCTTCGAGGAAGACGGCACTGAGAAGGAGGTCAAGTTCTCGTACTCGGTGTTCTGGATCGAGTCCAAGACAGCTTGGGCTACCCGTTGGGACAAGTACCTGCACGTATTCGATCCCAAGATCCACTGGTTCTGGCTCGTTGACACCGCAATTATCGTCATCATTCTGATCCTTACCGTAATGTCTATTCTCGTCAGAGCTCTGAAGAAGGATATCGCGAGGTACAACCGCCTTGACCAGATCAACTTGGATGACCTCTCTGGTACTTCGGCGCTAGAAGATGGCGTACAGGAGGATTCGGGATGGAAGTTAGTCCACGGAGACGTCTTCCGCAACCCTTCGAACCCTCTTCTGCTCTCGGTCCTGCTCGGAAACGGTGTTCAGCTTTTTGTCATGACGGGCTTCACCATCTGCTTCGCCCTTCTCGGCTTCTTGTCGCCCTCTAACCGTGGATCCCTCGGAACAATCATCCTGCTTCTTTACACCATCTTGGGCTTTGTGGGCGGTTACATCTCGGCGAGAACATACAAATCGCTGCAGGGCGAGAAGTGGAAGATGAACATTGCGCTGACTCCGATTCTGGTGCCAAGCATCGTATTTGGTGCCTTCTTCTTCCTCGATCTCTTCCTCTGGGCGAAACAGTCTTCCGGTGCCGTGCCCTTCACTACCATGCTGGTCATCATTGCCATCTGGTTCATCCTGTCGGTGCCTCTGTCGTTCGCCGGATCCTGGATGGGTTTCCGCGCATCTCCCATTGAGGCGCCTGTCAAGACCAACCAAATTCCTCGCCAGATTCCTCCTGCCACCTCCTATCTCAGACCGATTCCCAGCATGCTCATTGTCGGTCTCCTGCCCTTTGGTGCCATCTTTGTCGAACTCTACTTCATCATGAGCTCCGTCTGGTTCAGCCGTATCTATTACATGTTCGGCTTCCTGTTCCTCTCGTACGGTCTCATGATCGTTACAACTGCTGCCGTCACCATTCTCATGGTGTACTTCTTGCTCTGCGCCGAGAACTACAACTGGCAGTGGCGATCATTCCTTGCTGCGGGTATGAGTGGTGGCTACATCTTCCTCAACTGCCTTTTGTACCTGTTCACCAAGCTGAACTTGAGCAACCTGGCGGGTACCGTCCTCTACGTCGGCTACAGTGCTCTGATCTCCTTCTTGTTCTTCATTCTTACTGGTAAGCTTGCCTGCCGCCTCTCAGCTTTGACTCATACTAACGTTGCTTCGCAGGGTCCATTGGCTACTTCGCAAGTTGGTGGTTCGTCAGGAAGATTTACGCCTCCATCAAGATTGATTAAATGGCATTGCATTCGGGCGTTAACATGCGGCGACAGGTTCATGCTATTGTATCAACGTTTCTGTACGAATACTCACTCTCGTCCCCCGAGCGTTGCATTGTAGTTCTGATGACACGCTTTGGCCTAGAAGCAGAGCGTGGTTGGTCATGAGGTTCAAAAAAAATGATGTTCTTGTTAAATGGTAGACGGCAGGGATTGGTAGACGGGAGCGAGCTGCCTCCAGCTTTGAGTAAAACAACAGCGCATGTACAGTTCTCTTCATTTGATTTGTCTTGTGTGAATTACGTTGTACAACATTCCCCAAAGAGTGGCTCGTTAGCTACTCGTCGTCGTCGTCATCGTCCATGAGACTTGTAAACTGGAACTGCTTGCTCTTGCCAGCCGAGGAGGCGCCGGTACCAGCGCCAGCAGCCACACTGTCGCGCCGGTACGCCTCCTGCTGCTCGCGGCGAATCTTCTCCATCTTCTCCGCGTACTCCCGGTTCTTCCTCTCAATCTCGGCCTTCTCCTGCTCCTCGCGGACCTTGCGCTCCTCCTCCTCTTTCCGCTTCGCCTCGGCAATCTGCTGCGGATCGTAGCCGCGGGGATCGGTACCCGAGTCCGCGAGGTTTTGATACATGGCCATGGCGCCGCCGCGGATCATACCCTCGCTCGGCCAGGGCACGAACGTCGCGTTGAAGTGAGGGTTGAGGTGGTTGCGCAGGCCGTCGGGTAGCGAGGTCGCGGTCGTTTGCTGCGTTCCTGAGAGGAGGTCCTGCGATCCGCCGACGGGGCTGCCGTTTGCTCCGCCCGAGGGGCCTGGAGTCTGGCTCTGGCTGGGTGTCGGAGCGGCGCTTACGGGCTGGCTCTGGAGGCCGTTTGCGCCGGGGGTATTTGGGTTGGTGGTCATGCTTGCGTTCGGGTCTGGGCCCGGAGAGCCTCCACCGGCGGTGAGGCCGCCGTTTGTGAGGGCTGCGGGCGGAAGAGTGGTTTTACTGATACGGCGGGCATAGTTGAGGAGCTCGTCATATTTCACGGGGTAGTTGGGTCCTTCGGGGTGGACGGTGATTTGGGTCGTGGTGATGTCCTTCCGTGTTGTTGCTAGACTGGAGAGCGTCTCTCTGATTTGTGTGTCGAGGGAGGTAGTCGTTGCTCGGAGTTGCTGCAGGCGAAGATTGTTGTTTTGATGGATTTGAACTGTGATCGTGGAATTAGCATGGGAGCCTGGCAGCTTGTGTCGGAGGTAGGCTTACCCTCGTCGAGGCCTTTTGTGAGGTCATGGTCTGCTTCGTGGAGGTCCAATGCCTGCTTGGCGTGGGGATGATATTTGGATACCGACTCAATGAGAACCGCAAGGGCTTTCTCAACGCGCTCAAAGCGCACGTCAATAATCTTGTCCATGGCTGTGGTCAAAAGTTGTCGATCGGCCGAGATCGCTGGTCTAGCTGGTGGTGCGAAGGAGAGGATTTGGGTGCAAGGCTGAGTTGAGCTCCGCTAGACCGTACTGTGGGCCCACCAGAGGCAGCACGCCTATTGGCTCCGGGATTCAATGTTCTCTCCCAGCCTGTAGCCTGAGGCGCATTGGAAATCCGGCCGGCTTTTCCCGCTAAGAAACTCGCGCAACATCACCATTCTTTCACGACCTCACTCTTTTGCATCTGCAATTGAACACCCCACAGTTCGTTCGCACGACCACCACATTCAAGATGCCTTCCCCCGTAAGCCAAACCGCTACCTGAGCTTCCACGCTCTTGCTTCAGACTTCTGAGGCCACTTAGACATGACAAAATATTGACAAAATCGCAATGCAGGCCCGCGTCGGTACTCTGTACCCTGCCTTCCGCAGCAAGTTCGGCCCCAAGTACGTCTTACGATACCCATACGATCGATCCCTCTCGACTACGGCTGCTCAAGCGCCTCCGAATTCCCGACACCGCGAGACAAACTCCATGCGATGAGCAATGAACCGAAAGAGCAGTGGGCTGACTGATTGGATCTAGGTACAACACAATCCCCAACGTTGGTGGCTGGACCATTGCCTCCGTCGTTAAGCTGTGAGTTGCCCCTTAGACTCTTCGCACGGCATTCAGTATCACGATTCCGACTCTCGGCCCAAGAAACTCTTATTGCCGTTGCCACTGTTCCGCCGACATGAACGTTACAGACGATGACATGAGGCGACGAGGAGTTATCGGATACCGCCATAAGACAGAGTTGTACACAATTGGAAAATTCGGAACGGATTAACTAACCTATGATGCTAGCGGAACCCGTGCTGCAGGTTTCGGCGCTGCCGCCGGTGTTGCCGCCCTCTTCTACACCTCCGGCATCCCGAGAATTCAGAACGACATCCTTGTTGTAAGGCAGACTGCGTCTCCGAAGTGGACTCACCTGAGAACTAACACCCTCTATAGAAGATCCCCATTGTTGGCCCCAAGTTCCTCAAGGAGGTTCCCCCTGCGTCTGACAACGTGAGCTTTCCTCAAGATCGAATACCACCAAGGCAACATGCTAACATTAGACAAACAGCCATTCTAAATGCCTTTCATAACTTGGCTATGCTTTTCTAATGCTGAAAATGTGGTGAGCATGGTTGAATGAGGTGTTGGGATGGAGGGATGTCCACCCTTCGGGGCTTGTATAAAAGATACAATAGACTCTTTGACTTTAGTTGATGTGTTTGAATAAGGCAGTGATTCGAGAACTTAGTCAACCCAACTATTCTGTGCTATGTATCTTCTACGCATCATCTCAAAACACAACATTGGTAAAAGTAGTTTTGTCAGGGAGCTGAACTGCCCCTTTCTTCAGCGACTAGCTTAAGTGAAAGGCCGTGCGCAAACAGTGCGAAGACGCGTAATTGCTGCATCTTCGCCAAATGATGAACTGTTCACTTTCTTCCACCTCACTTGTCTGTGTAAGAGATCATTTGCTACTGCTCCCAACACTCATTGTATCCCCAGGCGAAGCCACATTCACCTTGTTTTCTGACACTCATTTCAGTTCAATTCCTTCTTGGCCTCTTTCCACACCTTGAGTGATTACATCCAACGGAACCAACATAACCCCACAGCCAGCCACCTCAATCTCGTCTGCCCTCTGGGCAGCTCACATTGAAGATGAAGGCCGTCGAAGCCTTCGTTGACGGACTCAACATCCTGTCCGTCGTCGTTCTCTACTCTCTACTATGGGTCATCACCCCCAAAATGCCCAATCCCGACCCCTCGGGGCCCAAGACAAACAAGATTTACGATGTGCTCATGCGCGTGTCGTACATCATCATCTTCATCCTCGGCTGGATCTGGTGCAGCAATGTCATGGCCCAAGTCGACAAGCCATACCTGGTGAGCTCAGTTTCCATATATAAGATCGATAACATTCCACCATACTAACAAAAAATAGGATGAGATCTTTCATATTCCTCAAGCCCAGAAGTTCTGTCAAGGAAGATGGGACGAGTGGGATGACAAGATTACCACTCCTCCCGGCTTGTAAGCCGCCATTCTCATTGGACCCATCACCACACCCAGCTAACAAATCTCCAGGTACATTCTATCCAAATACTACCTTAAGGCGATGATGAGACCCGACTGCTCCGTCCTCGATCTCCGTGGCGTCAACATCATCGCCATTCTCGGCGTCGGCATCCTCGCAACTCACTGCCGCCATCTCCTCGAGACTCGCCGCCCCGACGCCAAGTCCCCAGCACCCCCAGCAGTGCTCTCCTTCCACTCGATTCACCTGGGCTGGAACGTTGCCCTCTTTCCTGTTCTCTTCTTCTTCTCGGGTCTGTACTACACCGACGTCGTCTCGACTCTGTCAGTCCTTATTGCCTACTATCACCACCTCCACCGCGTCCGTGAGGAGCGCAGTTCTTTCTTGAGTGACTGGATCACTATCGTCCTCGGCGTCTTGACTCTTGTCATGAGACAGACCAATGTCTTTTGGGTTGTCGTGTACATGGGCGGCTTGGAGGCTGTCGCCGCTGTCAAGGCCCTCCGTCCTGATCCGGTGGCTAAGCCCAGCATGACGACACTCGGCGAGGTTGTGAAGTTCTACGGGTGGAGATACTCTGTTGGGGATGTCCATGATCCGCCTCTCAACACTGCGTGGCCAGATGGTGAGTCTACTGAAACACAGCTGGAAGGAATTCTACTGACAAGACCAGACTTATTCTTCTCCGCGCTGAGCATCGGCATCGCGGCTCTGGCTAATCCTCTTCGCATACTAAAGAAGGTCTATCCGCACATTACCATCATGGCCCTCTTCGCCGGCTTCGTTGCCTGGAACGGCGGCGTCGTGCTCGGTGTGTTTTCTTCATAAAACTCTAGTGAATACAAGGACTAACATGTCGCCAGGCGATAAATCCAACCATGTCGCGACAATCCACCTCGCCCAAATGCTCTACATCTGGCCTCTCTTCGCATTCTTTTCTTTCCCCCTCTTCCCACCTTCCGCTATCGGGGTCCTCCGTTTCGCTCACGGTCTCTACCGTACCACCTTCAAGACGAGCACAGTCAAGGGCGCAGACTCCGATAGCAGCACACACGGCCGCAAGCACGATCTTAGCGGACCTGCTCAATGCAGCTCTTCAAAGAAACAGAAACTCCAAACTCAAGACTCTACCGAGCAACTCAATTCAGCAACCACCCCCTCAACCTCCCTCATCCTCATCACCCTCCAGAAAGTCATCGGTTCCAAACTCTACCACCTCCTCCTAACGCCCGCCCTCCTCCTTCTGACCCTGCTCGTCGTCAGATTCAACACCATCATTCACCCCTTCACCCTCGCAGATAACAGACACTACATGTTCTACATCTTCCGCTACACCATCCGCCGCCCGGGCCTGTTCCGCTACTACCTCATCATCCCCTACACCCTCGCCCGGTGGTTATGCTGGGACGCACTCGCCGGCTGCGGCCAAGGCGGCTTCCTCTCGGACCACACCGCAGATTGCTCAGGGCGGTACACCGCGCTCCGTCCCGGACCATGGCAGAATAACCCCTTTAGCACCACAAGCCCCTACCGCGAAGAAAAGCCCTCTGCAACAGAGCCTCTGGACGACTCCGAGGCCGTCACTGCCGCAGAAGGAAAAGAACCCAAGGACTGCCACAACCCCTACGCCATCATCACCCTCGCAGACCAGACATCCTACACCACAGAGCCCACCGCCTCATCGACCGCAATCCTCCTCCTCCTCGCGACGACCCTCTCGCTAATGACGGCGCCCCTCGTCGAGCCGCGCTACTTCATCCTCCCCTGGGTCTTCTGGCGCATTCTCGTCCCGGCGTGGAGACTCCACGACCACGCTGCCACACATCCGGTCCTCTCAAAGGCCGAGAAGTTGCCCATCCTAGGCTCGTTGGTCAGGTTCGGAAAGAAGTTTGACGTGCGACTTGTGCTAGAGACTCTCTGGTTCGTGCTTGTCAACTTGATCACCATGTACATATTCCTCGCCAAGCCATACCTATGGAGGGCAGAGGATGGCAGGGTATTGGAAAATGGTCGGATGCAGCGGTTCATGTGGTAGATGGATCACTGCCCTGCGTAAAAGAATCACCTCCTCGAGGCTAGTCAATACAGTTTTGTGGACAAGAACCGAGGTAGAAGGAATGTAGAAAGTGACCTGTCCATTTGTTTTGCTCAACTTGATGCTTTTCTCTTGCACTCTCACGTGTGCTCTAAGCCTTTTTCAGGTTGCTATTTGTTTCAGAAAAGAAAGATCATAATCCTTCCAAGACGCCAATGACCTCATGATTCTGAGGATTTGTTCGATATGTTCCCATCAATGTATCGTTAAAGGGGGCTCATTGATGATGCCGATTTCCCAAGTTCCGCCTATATACCCATTTCATGTTTAAAAGCCTTCATGTCTGATCATTCTTAGGATCACCCGTTTCGCCGTCATCCGTCGTCATCATCGTCGCCGTCGCCGCCGTCCTTCACTTCTATAAACTCAGTCGATCCAGACTCAGGCCGTCGTTACTGCGCACCCTCCTGACAACGCCCAGCTTGAAGAACTTTTCCTCGCCGCCAGCGGTCCGCCCTCCGATGTACCATTTATCGGCACCTAATACATCGCGGAATCCTTCACTGCTGCTGTCGCTTCCGCGCCGTCGGTTGGCGCTACCGGGAATGGGGATGCCACCCCGCGGGGAGTGAAGTGGGTATTGATTCACGACTCCCGATGTCGAACGGGTCGTCGAGTTGGCGTTGGCGTTATTTCCGCCGCTACTTGTTGACGTATTCGAGGAAATGGCTCGTGGCGCTGAAGCAGCGGACTGTGTGGCATACGATGACGATGATGTTTGCGTGGTATGCTTATTCGGTTGCTGCGATGATAGCGCCGTCGCCGAAGGAGACTGTTGTCTAAAGGAGTTGAAGAAGGTGGAGAGGAAGAAAGGTCGTTGAGAAGGCATCGTGGATGCGTCGGACCGCGATGTCATCGGTCGCCTTTGCCGTACTGTGGTTGTATTCGTAGTATGCAGATCGAAGCCGCACCCGGTCGTGCGTGTGTCGTTGCAGAAGAGTGAGGAGATTGCCGTGTTTTGACGTAAGACGTAACGGGGAGGTTCCGCCGACGAAAGGGTAAGAAGCAAGCGCTTCGGTTGGGGACCCCTATTCTCCGGTATGATATTCTTCTAGGTTGCTGGGGTTTATGCTGTCATCCGTGCCCGAGCCGGGTCGATCCTGGGGCAAGACGTCCAAGCTTGCGCTGCAACACGGTTTCGCACGGGGAAGAGAAATGAGGAGCCGCAGCGAGGCGAGAGGGGCACTCAAAATCGGGATTCCGTTGTTTGTGGGCTCGTCAGTGTGTATGTGGAAACGTCGCTCAGGGAAACGAGGGGTGACGGTAACAGAAGGGTCGTTATCGTGGGTGATATATGGTGTTTGGCGGGGTGAAGAGGCAGTCTCGATCCTGCGCGCGGTATTTCGATCGCGGAAGCGCCTTGGGGTGGACTCGGATGAGTGATCGGCGTAGAGGTGCAGGCTTGCAGCACAGGCGCGATACGGGCGGGATGGATGGGATGGGGAAGTTGGCTGACTGAGTCTTCGCTGCGGGATGGTGCTGTATGTCGGGAAGAAAGCGGCGTGCGTCGGAGTGCTTCGCGTGTGCCCTGGTCTCTGGCTCTGGCTGTCGAGTCAAGTCGCAGTGGGGGAGGGTGGTCGAGTAGGCATCAGATGCAGGTTTGTGTGAGATAAATCCTGACGTCGACTCACTTGTGGCCCGCCAAACTGGATGTGGGTGGGAGGGGTGGGAGAGCCAGGGGGCGAGTGGAAGGGTCGGCTGGAAAAGGAATGGTGATGGCAGATGAGAGGCACATGAGTGAAGGGGGAACACTCACGCATTCGAGTCTTACAGTCTGTAGTCTCTACATAGTAAGGTCGAGCCGCAGGACTGCCCTTTCCCCCGTTCGGCCAATCCCGGAATCCGGAAGTTGGACCTTGCGACCGACTGGCGTGCACGGGCTTGGGTCCACTTGTGAGTAATTACCGGCGCGCCATAGGTCCATTTCGAGACTTGGGTACAGAGTCTCGAGACTTTTCCCCTCGGGTCCTGTCCCGGCGTGAGGGGAAGAGAGCTACGTATCCACATGTACCGACCAACGCCGACCTTGTGGGGGGTCTCGGCTTCTTGGAAAAGTCGGGGCAGGAATGAAGACCTCCTCGAGGGCCGGCGTTTCCTTCGTCCACTCACATCCGCCGCTTATCTTATCTTATCCGAGGTCAATAATCTTCACCTCTTTCCATCCGTCAGTCATTTCTCTCAGTCCTCGGGTCTGTCTACATCCCCAATCTTCTTCTATCCGAAAGATGCCGTGACATATCCGTACGAAGTACTTAGTTGACTGGACAAACTTGGCGTCTTGGTCGTCTTGGGTAGCATCACCCCGGATCTACACAGTAGGTACCTATGGGAAGCTTGCTTCTCGAAAGCATCCGGCGCTATCTGTCACTCGAAAGCCTGATTCCTTTCCCTCCAAAACCGTTAGTTTTTCTTGTCGAAAAGCTTTCCCCACACAAATCACAAACCATGAACTTAGATGCTTCGGTGCCTGCTCCTTGCTGTTTGTACATGATCTGATAATTCAAAGCCCGTTTGATTCAGACCCCGTCCTATTCGCTGGGGCCTGGGTAAGGCTCATCAGCGTCACGCAGATCTGGAACCGAAACGCCAGGAGAGACGCAGACTACGCAGCGGCACAGCTGCGCAGGATTTCCACGTGCAGCCACATTTCTGCACTTTGCACCTGGTCTCCTTGGTTGGCACACATTGGTACTCGGTTAATCGGGTGCCCCTTAGGAACCCGTTCGCTCGCCCCGAGATAGCTCAGCTTGTCAACATGAATGACAGATCGCTTGCGGCGCGCTATGTTTGCTCCGGGAATCCTTGACGCTGCTACCTAGTCTTGGACGGTGCGCTGCCTCTCACCTTGAGGTCCTTATAACGTATTCGTAGTCGGCACACCTGCAAAGCCTTTCTCCTACCGCAGCGCCTGGTGTAACCTCGTTCGCCAAGCGTCACGAGGTGTACTACCCTCGCTATGCTTGGCCCCTTGGGTCAAGTTTTGGTACGGAATATCAGGTACTGTAGCATCAAGGCGACGTCAGAGTGAAGATACGCTCTCTTGTTCGCAGCAACAAAAGCAAAACTGTAACCTTACAACCAAAAGAGGCCCGTCGCCTTGGGAGGAGGGTTTCATTGGTCTTCTCATCTGAAGTCGCCGACCTGTTGTAACACCCACCTACTCTGACCTTGTCGGTCTCGACTTTACCCCTCGATTCAGCTTCAGCTTGCAGCCGTTCGTCGCCTATTCTCCATGTTCAGACCCATTCCATCTCAGACGGCGGTTGGTCCCGATGTCAGGAAACAGAATCCTTATTGTGAGCACGATCGTACGACCGTCCCCCGCCTTGCACTTCCTCTGCCATACTTCCCGTGATACCAAGCCCGATGGGTTTCCGTTCAACCCCTCTCTTGACCGAGTCAGCGCCGGCCTACCGGGACTTCCCCTCTTAGAGCGTCTCATCCGGTGTCTCTCCAGGTTTCTTCCGATCCCATCTTATCTAGCGATAACCATCTTCAAATGCTTTGGAAACTTGCGGGGTTTTGCGGGGTTGTTCAGGCGGGATGCAAGCCACACACTAAGCCACCTCCCGGCACTTTAAAAATACGTGACAACACCTCAAAAATCTACGGCTCAGTGGCATGGCAAATAAGATACCGGAAGAAGACTTAGTCTAGAGAAATGATTCATTCGCACAGCTTGAGGCTCCTCTCCATGAATCAAGTCAACACTAGAAAGAGCGCCTGAAGAATGGTGTAGATGTCAGAGGTTTCAACTCTCGGGGGGTCTGACCCCAGCCAATGACTATTACATGCCAACCTCGCAAGACGATAACCCATCAAGGAATTGAGGAACAATGACAGTACATCCATTCTCAGCTGTTCTCTGAATTTATTCGCTCTGTTTTCAATTTCTTTTCTCTCTTGTTCGAAATTCTCTAGGAATGAAGGGTGTAATAGAAACGAATGGGAGAAAGAATATGGAATCAATTGTTCCTCATCAACTAACTTTTGCCGTTTCGTGATACCTACCTTAATTTGATACACAACCAAAGGAATAGTTTCAGACATAGTGAACATCTCAGAGCTTCTGAATATGACTTCTCGCCCAGGGTCGGCAAAATCCTAGGTACATGTTACCTCGCTTGAAGGCAAAGTCGATTTATCAAGACACTAGGTAATATGAAATTGGGAAGGGATTTGTTAGACAACTCCACTAAATCCAGAGACGCAAAGAAGAAGCGTTAACATGTTGAGTCCTTGGCATATCAGGAGCAGCAAGATACCTTCAAAAGAGGAATTATGGCATGTAGTTCTCATAATCGTACTGGTGAATGTCAAACCGACTGAGCCTACTTCACTACTCATATGGTCACATTGTCCTTCATGCATAGCACGTAGAACGGTCAGGACACTGTTTCACTTTTAATACCCCCAATGATGTTGGTTTTCGACCCACATTCACCCACACATGTTCACTTGTGTTCAAGGAAGAAGAAGCAGATACTGGCAGGTAATTCGATGAGCATTGAGAGTCGTAGTCTACCCAAGTAAGGACTATCTATCCTTCGTGTTGCCACTCTCTGTTAAACCTCCCCTTTTTCTCGCCAATCGTTGGCTTATCCCTTAGCCATCAAAGCTGTGCCAAATTCGTCCCCAAGCCATAGCCCGGCACTACCTGTTGTGTAACTCGGTATATGCAACTTAGCAGTTGCCGAGGAGCTTGAGCTGCCAGCCAGCAGGGTGAGTCTGGGTGCTGATGAAGCCAAGGCCGCAGCTGGAGGTGGCGGTGATGAAGTAGTTGCCGCCGTTGTAGCGGATGGAGCCCTGGCCACCCTTGGGGATGCAGGCGGTGCCGATCTGAAAGTTGTTGGCGTCGAGGACCTGGACGCTGCAGTTGGCAAAGACGGCGGCGGCCTGGGCGGCGACGGCGATGATGGCGGAGGTCTTCATTTCTGTGCTCAAGTTAGTTTTTGGGGCTTTTGGATGATGAGAGGAAACCGCTTACTGATGGTTTGGATGGGGTTCCTTGATTGGAGAATTGGTGTTGAGTTGTTGAAGGTTGTTTGGATTGTGAGATGAGAGGATGATGTGTTGATGTCTGAAACTTCTCGACTTAGGATGGAAAGAGTCCGTCTTTATAGATTTCACAAAGGCAGCGTGAGGCTCAGTCTGACTCTCCACGACAGTACGAGATCAGTATCCAGACACACTTCATGGAGCACCAGAGAGTAGGCCTCCGCAACAATGACTCGTGTTCTTGCTAGATTCAGTCGTTCCGATAATGAGGTTTGAAAGCGCCCCCTCACGACCTTGACACCTCGAACGGAATGTCGGCCTCGTCAACTGCCTGATGGAACTTGAGATGCCGCCAAGACGCAGCCACTGGCCAACATGATCACATCCAGACTATCGTACGACTTGATCAGTAAATTCTCGCTCAAATTGATGGGATACAATGTGAAGGGTGTTATCTCAGACAGTCAGAAATGCACCATCGCCTTAGGAGAATGACAAAGACCAAAAGGTCTTTGACCCTTGGTGGAGATGAAGAATGTCTACACACGCCATCAAACAGTAGGAAACGAGAGAAGACGCGTTGTCAAAGTGATGTATCAACTCTTTCGATGCAGGGTCGAGATATCCCATCGGCTATAATCACGGATGTGGGACCCGGGCGGGACGGCCCTATGGCCATGCAGCTGTCAATGACCCGGTGGGCTACTAAGGAGATTTTGACAGGTGGAAGATTCCATCGAAGGCTAGCATAAGGCGTTTATCCCACAGGACGCAGGGACTCGATCTCGTAAGTAATATCTAGGGGTCCAACTCTAAAAAGTCAAGACATAGACTTACTCGGGGACCAGGTTCTTTTGGGCCGTGACAGCTCAGCGCTATGACAGATCACATCAACTGAACCAGGAATCTCCGAGAATGACTTATCGTGACTCTGAAGCCTTTGCTGAGCTAGTATGGGTGGCGGAGCCCAGACGGGCTTCAATTTCAGCCGTTGTGATATTGCCCACTGGACAATGCTGTCGATTGCAACATAATTCTATAATTCGACCTGGAGCGGTCCGAGGTCTCTTGCCTTTTGTACGGAATTCAACTCGCAGGTTGGTCAGATAACTTCTCTTCCTGAGAGTTTAGTCTACCAAAAGTGCTTGACTCCCCGACCCCGGGATACTACTCCAAGACAATCGCCTACTCAAGCACCAGTATTCAGTGTGGCAGATGATAGTTGTGAGGTCGTTGGTCCACATCACCCATGCCAGCCTCAATTGTCAGATCAAAATAAGTCGTCAAGTGTAGAGCTTAACCTATATTGGTGCTATGCAGTGTTGCCAACCAGGAGGACTAATAGATATAGTCAATCGGGGGTCAGTAGTCATCACAACTCATTAAGAGTTTGAGCCTAGCCTCGAAGCAACTCATGCATTCAAATTCGAAGGGATCCAATGGTGTGGGAGTACCTTTGGCTTTGACTGAGTGATTAGGTTGTGTCATATAAAAAATGGAACTTTAGTGCTGAAGATCGGACTACTTTGCTAGCAGATGCTAAAGTTCCATAAGACAGACTATCAAAGCTCCTATTCCCTAAGTGTTTATCTAGAATGGACGGTCAATGCAAGACTTTGGTAAAGACAAAGACGATATGACAGTCTAAGATTAAGTATCATCTAGAGCTCCTACGCACTTTAGCCTTGCAGTCTTCTACTTTCTCCAACTTAATGAAGGGCTCGATTGTCATCGGTCTTTGTCACAGTCTAACTTCTAAGGACATTCAAAGCTATTGAGATCACTTCTCTATTTGTATTATTCTTGTGTTTACCATGAGCTAGGTTTTCTAAATTTTCAACAGGGGCCTTTTAAGAATGAAAACCAAACAGCCGAGTTTTGTCAATTCCCGATGCCATGCAGGCAGACGGAGAGTGAGGCAGTGGCATGAGTCTTGCGAGGCTACACCCAGACAACAAAATCTGTCCTCAGGGTGGCACTTTTGTCTCACCGGTGTATCCTTCTGAATTGTGGCAAATGGTCCAATTGGTCTGCCTTACACAAGTCTCACTTTACAACTGCCAAAAGTAGGGTTGACCATCCGTGAGGGTGTGTCAGCTGCATCTCTCCAAATCCTCCCTTGCGCTTTGCGGTAAGGCTCTAAGCCGCAATTTGGGGGCAATTCCCTCAGATATTTATCGAACTTCAGTGGCCGAGATTTCTGGGAAAGTGGACATTTAAAACTGAAGTACGACAACTCTGCATACTTGCTTCTAAGCACTACCGACACGATGCGTATCGCAACGCCAGGTACAGTGGCCATTCTGGCTATATTTCTCACCTTCCAAACCGTCTATTTCGTCACAGAATCCTTTTTACATCTCTTCTTTCCTAAGAAGATGACCCAGAAATGGCTTGTTCTCTTCCAGTATTTGATCGCGCCGGTATTCATCGGCACTTTGGGGCTCATACTGATCCCGAACATCTTTCAAATTCACAAGGATATACACGGAGATGTGTTCGCCAACGAGACGGCAAACACCTCATGCAACAGCAAAGCTTTAGCTGAGATTGATGCAGACATAGGAGGGTACGGCATACGCATCGCTATTTGGGCGCAAGAGTTTGTCGTCTTCTTCATTGCCTTGGCTGGAACGTTTCACTCCAAGGTCACAGGTGCTAAGGAAATCGGTGCTGGTCTCATCATCACACACTTTTCCTTGGCTGTGGCACTTATTGTTCAACTGGTACAATTCAAAGGAGATGAAGGAGATGCAAAGGGCCGGAAAATTCTCACCTCCGCAAGTGCGATCCTAGGCGCCATGATTCTCGATTCTCAAAACAGTGCACTGTCGATCCTTCTCATCACCAAACAAACTCTCGCAGCCAGGTGGCAAGTCGTCATTGTAATCTTCTGCCAAACGGTGAGCATGGTGCTCATACCAATCCTAGTCGAGAAATACACCCATCATCAAAGCGACGAAGAACTAGCCTTGGACGCCAACAAATGCGAACTCCTTCAGGTTTTCTGGTGGGGCAGACTCCGGAACTTTCCTTACGAGACGGGCGAGACGACGTACAGATATGAAGCGACGGCTTTCTGGCTGTATTACAGCTTCCGACTCGTCGTCTACATCCAAAGCAGCTTCCATGCGCTGATTAATACGCAAATTTTTCACGAAGCCGAGAAGAGTAATGATCCTCTGGAAGGTATAACTCATCCATCATTGGGAAGACGCGATGCCCAGGGCCGGAATTGGAGTGGAAAGATACGACGTTGGCTTAGAGGACACTCAGAGGACATGAGGTTCGACCCGTACCCCACGACCATATCGCTCATGTACATCGTCTATGGGGTCTTGATGGTTGCTTCTATGGCCGCCGCAGAAATCACGATTGGAGGCCCGAATAAGATATTCGAACAGAAAGACGGCCAAACAGTGTCTACCGGCCAAGTGATAGCTATTGTTGTTGCTGCTGTGACAATTGCCAGAGGACTGTGGCTGTTCTTCATGTTATTCATCAAAGATGGGGAGATCAAGAGCATTAAGGAAGGACTAGGTTCTTTCCGTTGGCCACTTCACCTTGAGTTTGATGACCAGGAATGACTGCCAGGGAACTTGAGGTTGTGCGTCTCAAACTTGGGCTTCGTACCTCCAGCCCATAGGCTTTTTGCACTTAATCACGTTGCGCATTGGAGAGATTAGGTTGATGCGCCTCTGAATAGAAAGTATGTGGGGATTTGGGACTGATAGAGGTTGAAACATCACTGGTGTCTCGATAGGTAGAAGCAAGGAATGTTTACTCATGTCCCGATTGAAGATTCCCGAAGCCCGTTCCGCACCCGTGGAGGGGCATACCCACTTCCGGCCGTCGAAGTTAGTGTTAAGCCACATCACGTGGTCGGACGAGCATCGGCCGAGGCTCAGCCACCCATTTCTAAGCGGAAGATTCGAGAAGGTAATGACAGCCGCAAGTACCGGGCGAAGGTGGGGTCGGCGGAGAAAGCGACCCTTGGAATCCACGTCCAACCCATCGGCGCGGGTTGGCGGGGGTCCCGCGTTCAACGTCCACTGGAGTGGTGACAGCAGCCACCAAGTACTGCAGCAGCAGCAGCAGCGTCGGAAGTGAATCTTCGACTGGCACACCATATTGACGCCCCGAGGCTGAGCTGCAGCAGCCGGTGTGCCCAACGGCTTCTCCTCCACACCATTGACCGAGCCGAATACCTGTCTCCTCATCACCGAACCAATTTCCCCGACTGCAGTCCGTACGCCTCAGTACGCATTGAAGATCACACTCCTTGGCTTCTGCGCAGCCTTCTGTCTCGGTGTTCTGAGCCTCGACAGATATCTCTTGGGCTGATTTCTACTTGGACGGCGAGACTCGCCAAGGTTGCACCGTTGCATTCGGCGTCTACTCTGCATCTTTATAATACGACTGAATACCTGTTCTTCCAGCCCGCCGCTGAACCGTCTCCTCCGCTTGCTAGTTCCAATCCTTCAATATTGGACTGGGACTGTACCCTCCGAACCACAACTACACATTGCAAAGGGAACAACAGCATAATGTCGAGGTCAATACAGCTCAAGGAAGAAGGCAATCGCCACTTCCAGCAGGGCGACTATGCTGGCGCGGAGGCCCTGTATTCCAAGGCGTAAGCTTCACCTAACGAATCCAGGGCCAGCCCCAGCCTGATCCACCTGCTATGTATTCCAGACAGCTAGACATGGCAATCATATCGACTGAGAAGCTAATTCTTGGTCTATTATAGCATCATTGCCGACCCGAAGAACCCCGCTCTATACACCAACCGCGCAATGGCACGCCTCAAGCTCGAGATATGGGATTCGGTTGTGTCCGACTGTGAATCGTGTCTCGGACTTACAACCGACAACCTCAAGGCCCACTACTACCTCTCCCAAGCCCAGCTCGCCCTCAAGGACTACGATTCGGCCCTTACGAATGCACAAAAGGCCCACCAGCTTTGCGTACAGACCGGCGATAAGTCACTGGCGGCCATCACCGCTCAGGTGTTGCGCGCGAAGAAGGATAGATGGGATTGGATGGAGAAGCGGCGAACACGGGAAGCACGACACCTCGAAAACGAAGTCATTGAGCTGATGGAGAAAGAACGTGAACAAGCCCTTACGAACGCAATGGACGACGGGGAAAAGAGAGAGATTGAGGCTGAATGGGAGCAAAAGATCGAGATACTGAGAAGCACCTTTGAGAAGAGTCGCTCTGCCGAGGAGAAGAGACGTGAGGTTCCGGAGTGGGCCATCGATGACATCAGCTTCGGCATTATGGTCGATCCTGTACTTGTGAGTCAGTCTAGTTACTGCTTGCTTGCTGCCTACTAACGCGCTCACAGACGAAGACTGGAAAGTCTTACGAGAGGGCATCCATCATGGAGCATCTCCGTCGTCACCCGAGCGATCCCCTCACACGCGAGCCCCTACTGCCATCCGAGTTGAGGCCTAATCTTGGCCTGAGACAAGCCTGTGAAGAGTTCCTCGGGGAGAATGGCTGGGCAGTGGACTGGTAGTCTCACGGAGTTGAGCTTGCAAATATGTTGGCGGCACCCTCTGATTTCAATCAATTGCATAGCACGGCGTTCATGGTCTCGTTGGGCGCGAAGAATACCGAGTTGAATACGACTTCGCAATCGCTACTCAGCGACTATAGACCTCGGGGAAGCTTTTCTCAGGAGCTCCATCAATACATACACAACCCCGCTCCCAAAGTCTAGAAGGGAACAAAAATGCAACCTGGCTTAGATGCTGTGATTTTTTGTAGATAGACTAGTCTTAACGCATGACAGCACCTAAAAGCAGTTTCTAACGGAGCTCTGGCTGCTAGGATGTTGATGGTATTCGTCTTACGGGCCACTCAACCCTGAATGCTTCAACAGAAACGACTAGCATGAAATCTTTGGACTAGCCTTGATCATCGCGTCAAGATTAAGAGTAGTGCTCCCCAGTATCGTCCGTCGCTACAAATAGTCAATGCCAATTTAGCTGCGTTGATTGACTGCTACATGCATTCAAGGCTTGAACTGAAAGCTCCTCTGTGAAAGTTACTCACTCTTTAGGTTTGATGAGACAATAATCCCGCTCTCAAGGTTGGACTTCTGTCATGTAAAACGCCTGTACTGCGGGTGATGCAGCGGTCAAGTTGCATTCCTCTACATCAATCAAGCTCGTAGGCCGTTATTACGAAAAAGCAAGATATCCCGATATAGAGGTAGGCATGTGAGAGTATGGCACTGGATTAGCACGCCCGTTTTGCCAATTGTGTGAATCATCGTGAGGCGTCCGGGTCGAACACGGATATGTACTTGGGGAGGGGGGAGAGAAGCATGTAAAGGGGCGCTACAGATGCGATGTCTATCTTCTCGACCACAGCCAGCCTTCTCTTTTGCTTGACTTCTCAGACTTTCTTTTTCTCTATCTTCTCTTATAGTGCCAGAGTAGAATTCGATGGAGTCAACATCTTGAAAACAGAAGTTTTACCCACACTGAGCGAGACTCTGGCTTCTTCTGACCTCGCTCATCCGATTAGAGCACCAAAAGACTGGCCGTCTCGGTTTGGCATCAGGTGATGCAGTCTTCCGCCCACGGCCTGTCGCCGTCCAATAAGATACACAAGTGACAATAGCCACCAGACCTTTCCTGCGTATTCCCTGGGTTACGGAAGTAGCCTAAGCCGCCAAGGTTGGGAGACAATCACACCAGGCCGCGCGGGTACTTTTTCCGCCCAACATATTCTTAAAGTCTGTTTTCGAAACCACATTGATCTAGACCAGACTAGAACATTGACACGTACCGCGACTGCTACCTCGATTTGAGATTGTAGCCAGCCAATTAGCGATAACTTGCTTCACCATATTGAAACAGAGTCTTTGTTTGTGTCAGCCATGCTACCTCTACACATAATCCCGATATCTAATCGATTTGGCGTTTTATCCAAGAACGAGCATCGCACAACGCAACCGACAACATCGTCTCAATCCGTGAGCCAACATGTTACTGCTATGGTTACCAACACAAACGTACACAAGGGCAGTGATCATAATTCGGAGTGGGTGAAAGTCGAGAACAAACCAAAAAATGACTTGAATCCTGAATATGTGGGATGCATCTTGAAGGCCCCCGAAGCATTGCCCAAGGGATTCATTGATGGCCTACCCCATCGAGTCTATGGCCATTTTTTCGTCATCAGCGAAGTTTCAGGCACTGGAGATCTCAAGATATGCATGGTAGGTCGAACCCGGCCAAGTGAGGACACAGGACTTACACTAAGTTCCATGGCCTGAGATCACCTCAAATTGTAAGGCCAAACAGAAGAAAATGCGAATCAGAGAGAGCGAGGAAGAACGCCCCGAGTCTGCGGAAGAGCTTGTGATCGAAGGCACTTGTCCTCTTCAGGTCAGGTCTTGGCTCAAAGTTGAAGAACGTTATGGAATAAGCGCTTTGAGGTGGGCTAATTGCGCCGAAGATCTTCTCGTAGCGGGATGCCGATTGTCTGTCAAGTCGATAAAGAAAGTCAGGCGGGCCGATATCAACTAACATGCTCCTGCTCAAGGAGTCAATGAACTGGATTTAATCGTTCTGGTTGATTAAAGTATAGAATATGCTTCCATCGTTCTTGCCTGACCCAAAGTCCATCGTCTAAGCTTGCTCAGAACTACATGGTTATCTTGATTTTTAGCTATACTTATAGCCTATTTAGTTTGTTGAATACAGCGCTTTAATGTCGGCAATCATCGCAGGAGGTGCACCACAAATCAAGCTACGTAGATATTTGTTGAATTTAAGCTCATCTTCTCGAAATGAAATCATGTCATCGTAAACGAGATCTACATGTTGTTTCAACGTCATCGGATAGTGCGAGGTGAAACACACAAGCCAGATTCATGACTTGAGAGGAGAAACAACAAGTTCGTTCAAGAAAATCACATCGAGGCTGGTTCATAAAACCCGTGGTTTTGTATCGGACATAAAAGAGCTAAATCTTGCTATGCTATTTTGAGTTGCATGTATATGGGCCGGGGTAAACTGAATTCCGCCCCTTGAAAATAAGCGTGCTTCATGATCGTCATTCCCTCTATGCAGTCTTGCCCTTGATGATGTCGGCAGCCTAAAATCAGAATTGTTAGCGAACGACCTCAGGTACGGCTAAGAAGTGCTTATTGATGTTAAGTAGAGCTTACCTTCTCAGCAACAGCATAGACTGTAGTCATAATGTGAGTGGCAGGAACAAGAGGCATGATGCTGGCGTCCACAACGCGGAGTCCGCTGATGCCATAGACCTTCAGGCTGGCATCAACGACACCACCCTCCTCTCTTGCGCCCAACTTGCAGGTACCAACGGGATGGAACAAAGTACCACTCTGTTGGCGAACGAAATCGGTGATGGCAGCGTCGGTGGTAACGTTAGCGCCAGGAACGACCTCGAAGGGCTGAAGGGGCTTGACGGCTTCGGTGCCGGCGATGGTGCGAGCGAACTTGACACCCTCGACCAAGAAAGAAACATCGAGGGGGTTCTTCAGGAACGCGGAGTCGGCGGTGGGAGCATCGAAAGTGCTGGAGGAAGCAGCCTTGAGGGAGCCACGGGAGTAGGGGTGCTGAAGACCGAGAACAACAACACCATCGGCCCAAATCAACTCGAGGAGTGCAGAGTCGGTGGCGGTGAGACGTTCGTTGAGGACCTTCTGTTGTGCCTGGTATCCCTTGACCACCTCAGCGGGGGCGCCTGAAGGCAAGAAAGTGGTTCCATCCTGGGCGGACGCCTCGGAGCTGAGGGTATCGACAGCCTTGGAGTATGTCGACAGCGGGAGGAAAGTGAGGAAGTCGCCGGTGGGAGAGCTGAGAGGGCCGTTCTTCTGGCTGTCGTACTGGGCTCTAGCTTCGGCGGCGAAGGTGGCGTTGCTTTGGAGCAGAGAGCCAACGGGCAGAGTGGTGTTAACTAGTTTTTTCAAGTCAGCTGGCGTCAGGACAATCTCAGATTGGATATTTCATACTGGTGTTGACAACAGTCAACATCACGTGGTCGTGGAGGTTCTGGCCAACGGCGGGGAGATCGACAACAGTAGGGACGTTGATGCTGGTGTGCAGAGCCGGGTCGCCAATGCCGGAAACCTGAAGAATCTGGGGCGAGTGCAGAGCTCCAGCAGCCAGGATGACCTCCTTGGCAGCGGTGGCAGTCTGCGCCTGAGCTCCCTTGCTGGCGGCAAACTGAACACAACATTAGCTGGATGATTCCATTTGAAAGGCTGAGCAGCCTTAACTCACTTCAACGCCCGTAGCCTTAATGGCATCCCCTGACCCGCTGGTGACAACCTTGGTAACCTGGCGCCCGGTGAGAAGGTGGAGGTTCTTGCGTCCAGTGAAGTTATCGTAGTAAGCCTCTCTGGCGGAGGAACGAGTGGAGGAAGTCGGGTCCTGGTTGTGAGGGCAAAAGTAACCTCCAATCGGGCTACCGTTGGCCTGGTCCTTCGCAACGGTGATCCCAAGCTCCTTAACAGCGTCGATCATGAACTCTATTCAGGAGGTTAGATCGTGTCCCTAGAGATTACGATGGTTTTGAGTAGGAGAGACGTAACTAGTTGTAGGCCAAAAAAAAGGCGAGTAGGTGACCTGCATCAACCCATCGGTGCCGTGAGCAGCATCATCAACCTGGACGCCCCACTCAGAGACGATGTCGGCCTTCGGGGGTGTGAACTTCTCGTTCTGTAGGGTGAAATAGAGTTAGATTACCGACACGATTTACCTTCACGATTTTCACTAGGGGACACAAGCACTTACCTTCTTGAAATAAGGAAGCAAAGAATCCCAGTTCCATCCTGTGGCTCCGAGGCTTTCCCAACGATCGTAATCAGACTTTGAGCCCCGGTCGAATACCATGCGGTTAAGCTTAGTTGAACCTCCAACAACTCTTCCCTGGGGAATCGAGACAGACCGGCCTCCAAGGGCGTCGTTTGCGGCGTAGGTCGTGTTCCAGTCGTACTTGGTTCCAACGGCGCCGCCAGCTAATCCAGGGATCTTAACGTAATCCTCGCCCGCGTCACTAGAAGTCATACGTCAGAACATGAAAATTTTGTTAGTCCATTTGGGCAATCTCACAGATCACCAGCCTCGATAACAAGAACAGTTACGGCTATGCCAAGTCAGTTATTGATTCGTTGATTGACGCTTGAGAGTGTTCTGCCACTTACCAGGGTCTTCCGAAAGGCGGTTAGCAACAGTAAGTCCACTGGCACCGGCGCCAACAACGATGTAGTCGTAGCTCGGCAGCAAATTTGTGTCGTTCTGTCGCTTGAGACAGACTGAAGGAGAGGACGGACGAGCAAGCGCTCCGAGGAGCGGCATTGCTGCCACAGCCACAGCCATCTTCACGACGTACGCCATGGTGACTAGTGTCTGAGTGGGACTTAAAGAGCAAAGGAACGATTGTTTGTGCGTATGTACAAAGGTATAACGAGTGAGTAGAGACGCAAGATGTTGCAGAATTGTATCTCGACTCGGGACGACCCGATATATGATTTAACTTGCCCCTAAAGATGGGACTACTTCGTCTGATAACGACCCTCCAAGACTTCGAATTTGCCTGCTATTGATGCTGCCGGTCTTACCTGCCGATTGTGAACTCTCTTCCCCACAACGGTCAGGGGAAACAAGGCAGCCGAGAGACAAGCGCTGCTCGCGTTAAACGACGACATATTGGCCCAGACCGAGTAACACCTACTGATCCGTACTTGCTCCAGTAGAATGGACAAAAGAAAGACAAGGGGTTACGGGAAGAGCATCAGGGGAAAGGAGGGGGGCAAGGGCAGGGTCGGATAAATGCACACAACATCCCTGGCTCTATCTGAGCTGTCTTGGGTGGCGCAATATCTGCAGCGTGTTAGCGATTGCTTGCTCAGCAACAACAGCTGTAGCTGCCACACGTGGTTGACAGGCCAAGTGGAGTAGAACCGGTTTCTGGGACAGGTCATCCGGAGATTGCAGCTAGGAAGCGGTTGCGAGAAATGTGCCGATGCATGGTTACTGAATCATTTAAGGTTCATACTGGTCGAAACGTCGAACAAAAGCGTCGATTTGGCCCCGCGCGGTAGCTCGTCTAGTCACGCTGACCAACATTCTCAGCTGAGCTCAAAGGCGACGATACAGTCTTTTAGGGTTGATTGAGCCAAGAGGCTGTAAAGTGGCCCTCGGTTGTCTCGTAAGGTCTTGATGTACGCTGCAGTAGCCCATGGCGATCGGGGATGATCGCCGGTATCCAGATTCGTCCCATCGCCGAATACAATCCCTAAAAAGGATGCGCGGCACCCCAGACAACCCTGGTTCCGCGATTCAGATGCAAGGAGCCCCAGTCTTGTGCATCCCAGCATCCCTCTCGATTCCGTCCCTCCCTTACACACGTCCCCAGAGTCGGCAGGGTGCCGGCGCGAGCGGCAAGAGACATTTTTCTTTCCCACTACTCTGTACTCCACAACTTGTAAGTCATTGTATTTACTAACCTGCCTCTTTGGTGTTTGACACTGCCTCACGGCCACCAGCGAATCTCAAATGCCGTCTGTTTCGATAGCACAGCTCCTAAGACATATCGCAAACTATTCGCAGTTAAACTTGCCTTGTTCAAGTCATGTGTGTATTCTTAGTAGATGAATGGCATCTATTGAGGCTTGGAAGAGGTGGGTGGCTTCTCGCTTAGGTTACCTTCTACGATTGGCGCGCCAGTATCTGTAAGAAACCCGCTACATCGAATCTGTAGAGAAGGTCGAGGAGACAATAGGTACATGCGAGTCCCATTGAGACGTGAGCACCATCGCGGATATACGACTGTCTGTTCGTCCAACGGCTGGTTAGTCTTCTTCTATCTTACCTAGTGAAATGGACGCATTTGAGACATGGCGCAGCACCGATCCGCTAAACCGATGGCGCTAGGGCATTGGTCCGCGTGTTCTCGCGATTCACAACGACTAGCTCACAACGCGGTTTACTGATCATCTTGTCTGTCTCGACGCAAGATGACAGTCGGTGATTGACGCCACAAAACGGGTAGCACATGTGAAGTTGGCCACCCCCGCGATGTGGTCGATGGGATTATGCAACCTTCACTAGATCGTCTTGCTGCATGCCACCCTCCCCTCGCACGTACGAATACAACTTCCTCTCAAGCCCTGTCATTTGCGTAGCTAGGGGTTACATCCACTTGGCCTAATACAGCGAGTCGTTGGCTTGGAATGTTCTAAGCGTCATTCGCAAGCTACCTACTCTACAACGCCCCCAAAAAGCACTTTGAGCTTCCAACGGCACGTATGGGGGACTAAACTTTGTCGCTTATGTTAGTTGCCACGTTTTGAGCCGAGGCATTAAAACGGCCCAGGCTTGCTTGTCGACCAATATTCAGCGCCGTCAAAGCCGACCTGACCTAACCTTCCATCTACTGCTGTCAAGTTTACGGCATACCACGACCGTTCAGGCCCATCTGTCCCACATTACACGGTGATTTGCAGGCTCGTCTCGTTGAGGAAACCAATCTCGCTGAGACTCGAATTTGGCTTGATTACATAGACATATCAAGAGTGTTTTGCGATGAATCATAGGACAAGAGTTAGAAGATGCTTCAACTCTTCCAAATACATTCTAGACCTGCAGGTCGGGACGGTAAACTATAATGAAGGTTGTTTGACACATGGACTTTTCTAAGACTTTAGTTCGGTCTCTAAAAACCTCGTGATGAGAATTCGATTTCTCGATAGAAGTCTAGAAACAGTTTGGATGAACTTACGAAGCTCCAGTCACCAAGATGACTGACTTCCAAACGTGCGACTTGGTGCGAGTTTCACCTTTCACTCAAGCTAAGTCGGCGACCTGCCGACCTGGCTGAAGCTGACGAGGGTGGTCAAAGCATCACTGCAAACAGGTTACTCGGGCAACTCAGTATCCAGTGTTCTGGCATGCATGACATGAAGATGCCTGTCAAGACTCGTTCATCTGAAGCCTCTAAACCCTAAATCAGGCGGCCAATGGAGTCGATAACTGGGGCAGTATCACAAATCAAGCCTATAAAAACAAGCGCGACATATGAGGCAACCCGAGAAGCTGGTTCAATCTATCGCATGCAAGGGACTATCATAGCTCGACCTTCTATTGTCGCGGTCGAAAGCCAAGGCTCCCAAGAGACGCGGACGCGGACATTAGTTGCCTTGATTGAGGGTCTCCTGCAACATTCCCCTTTTTGCAGCGTGACCTCGCAGGAGCCGCAACTGCCGGATCGGCCGACACCGTTCTGGACGCAATCCCACTGGTTCGCCAAGGTCAAGTATTGATGGCTGATATATGGAGCACTCCGTACTGCCACAATCTGCTGTCATGTTGGCAGAGGATTTGATGTCATTTGAAACTGGAGCTTGCAGGCTGTGGCCCGGTGGGTTCGGGATTTAATGTTGTCTCCATTTAACAGGCGCAATGGGGCCACGTAAGGAAAGTCTCCGCTTCGTTAATCAATGGCATCTCTTGAGTCTTGAGTCTAGGTAAGTAGCAAAAAATGCTTTGCCGAGAATTATCTTGTTCAGGTCATCCCAAAAGACAGGAAGCCACTGGCCAACTTTCTAGGCAAAGGCATCAAGAAAGCCCCTTCTACAAAGAATAGGGGTATTCTGCGACAGACTTGGCCTGCGCAGCAAGGACATTGGATTGCGCAGCAGTTTGAGAGTTGCTCAGCCCCCGCATGTTCTGCCCAGTTAGAAGCCCCTTCAAGTTTCCAATGTTGATTGAACAAGGGAGTACTGTTTCCTGCTAGTCAGATTTAGGAAAGTCTTAGAACACACGAAGCCGTACAACTGTAATTCCATGATCCTAAGGAATGACCTCAAATTCTAGCCCCTCGTAATAGTATCTTTCTCAGAGTTTGAATTATGGGACCTAAGCGCCGGAGCTCGGCCTACGAGCGGATGCCGCAAGTGGACCCGAAGCATTGCCGGAACCGCGGGGCTGCCGGGGCCCATCGGTTACACGTAGGTTCATAGACTTTCCCAAAAAGGAGCTCGCCGTGATGTGTAAGTGATGTATAAGAGATAAAAGAGCAAAGGAGGGGGCATGACTTTCAGCATTCAGCCCAACCTATGGACCTCATGAAAGCATAGCCTGCATGTGATTACTGATGTGGTGCGCCGCACTCTAGCGGCGTACTCTGGCCGGTTAAAATGAGGTAAGGCTTGCCTCGGGCTTCATCGGCTAGCAAACTTGAAGCTGTTCTTTTTCTTCTGCCGGTCAGCCTTCAAGATGAATCCTGTTACTTCCATCAGTTTGGGGTGGATGAACTAGCTTGAGTTGTCCTTCCACGCATCCAGAGCCATTTGGCATATTCCTTCCGGAATCTCAAATTCTCAATTGAAGGAACATCAAAGATACTATCCCTCAGACATCTCTTACAGTCAGAGAAATATCGAGTTCTGACCTAGCGTGATGCTGGTATGTCTTATCACGATAACATGTCGAAGGCGAGCCGCGCAATGGTCACAGAATCGGTAGCCATGATGCTCTCCGCAACTTAATTTCACCTAGCGACTGCAACGCTGATAGTTATGACGCCCGGAAGCTTGATCGTCGGGATACGACTGCCGGCCTCTAGGGTACAAAACCAGTGCCGACTTGAGAATGTCACCAAGCCTGATTTCGGCCTGCGGAGGTGTATTGCTCAAGTTGGCTTTACTGAGATAGGAGTATGCCCGACCAAGGCTCGTGCGGGCGGCCATATTCACCTCTCTATCATTTTTGGTCGCTAGCACCAAACAGCACTAGCGCGGTGATCGGGAGGCTTGGGACCTTGGTCTAGTAATCTTGAATGTCAGAGAAACTGAGGAAGACTTATGGTTGCCGCAAGATGTATGAGGCTATCGTAAGTTGGCAGTTTAGATCATGATAGTTCTACTTCCGCTGTACTAGCGCAGAGAGATCATTGAACGACAGAACTTACAGTTTTGAACATAAAAAGATGATCTGGCTAGAGGGCACGGCAAAATCAAATGTTGACTAGGGTCCTCTTACAACTGATCTGTTCGTCGGTATATGCCATCTTACTACCTTAACCCATATGTGTACATCAAAGCGAGCAGGTAATGCTGATTCACCAAAGTTTAATAATGAATCGAGGGGTCTTTTACATGTTCACGATTTCACCTCACAGCGTTCTGGAATTTGATAGAGTTTGCTATCTCAAGATCATCCCCCTAGTAAAATTCTCAACCTGCCTTGCTAGATATATGACGCTTGGGCAGGTGCATTAAGAGAGAGTAAGGTAAATATACCTGCCGGATCTCTTTTTGGCCGGGAGTATACATAGCCCAGCCAGCACCTTCCCGCAGCTGCGTCCCTCCTTCCACTGAGACGGCTGTCCACGTGACGTACCAGCCTATGACTTAACACAGGTACTAGGTACTTAAGGGGTCTAATCTTCGTTCCTGTCACCAACACAGCAGCGCCCGTCTAGGTCGGCGAGGTCAGGTCAAGCTGTACGCGAGGTGGGTGAGTGGTTAATTGAACAAATACTCCTATGAAGTCAGAGTCCTGGTTGACTGAGGGGCGCGCTGGTCAAGTGAATCAAGTCCGGGCAGGGTTGTGAATTATAAAGTAAGTGATCACCAGCCCTGGTTTCTATTCTTATTCTGTTGTACTTTTGACAATCCTCGTCTGAACCTGTACGTGAATTACGACGAGCTAACCTACTGTACCTTAGTATTGGCGGATATGATAAGTCATGCATGGGTATTTGTACTTGACTAGCCACTGTCTACTGTGTTCCGCCCTCTTGATTGAATCCGTTCACGATCACACTTCAGCGAAGAATTGGCAGTTTTTGCATCTGGAACTCGCTCGTTCCGTCTTTTTGTCTCGAGGACGTCAGCCCACACCGAAATCAATGCCATTGCGACAAGGCCCGATGAACAGACTTGCGAGATTTTCGACCAAATACATTTGAAGGCTTGAGGCACTCCATCCTTCATATTTCGAGAAGATTGCAGCACAATGGTTGTCTAGGTGACCCAAACATATGCCCCGAGACTCTGCAAAATGGCCTTCATGCAGAACAAGAAAAATGGCAAGATCGATAACCATTTGAACCTGATCTCGGAGGCGAGCAAAAGGCTAACAGTTACTATGATATCACACTTGACTAAAGTTCTCTTCAATTATCCGACAGATCTATGATACATTTATCTCCAATCATGCCTTGTTCTCATTCAAGGTCATCGTGGCGATTCCCAAACTGTCAGTTGATCGGACTACTCGCCGGATGGAGTTCAATTACCACCAGGCTACTAGCGAACTTCTCACGATCTCTCAGCCTAGGCAAACGGAGGTTCGGAGAGTCAACACAGGCGGTGAACCAAGGCAGGCGGATGGACGATGAGGGGCATCCGTACCGAGTCCGAACCCCAAGTCGCGGTGGTGCTCGGGCTTGGCGGGGTTCGGGGCTGTTGACCGTCCTTGGACCAACCGGCAAATGGAGCAACTGGGGACGTCACAGCTTGAAATTCCCCGCGGGTTATGGAGCCGTTGCGGGCTATTTGCGGGGGGCGGGGAGGAGCATTAGCTTCAGAGCCTCCAGTAGCTCGACGTAGGCGTTGCAGGCCGTTCCACTTAGCGCTAGGATTACTGCCGGGAGTCGGAAGAGCTACCCCAAAGCTCTCCAAATGGGGCAAATATCGCCGGCCAAAACCCAACAAAAACATGTTCGAACCCAATCGGGGCCTGCTGATTATGATGCAGAGCAACCAAAGCAAGACATTCCGACCGCACGACTCGTCTGATTGATACATCACTGCGGAGAGCTCACCGAGCTCTAGAAAGCTCAGTTCATTCAATTGACTGATCATCCCGCTCGACTGCTTCCTCCAGTTCTCGTCTCTTCAACTCACGATTTCTCCCTTTCACTCACGACAGTACCAGGCTCAAACCAACAAACCACTAGCACAACAGAAGTACGGATACAAGCAGTCAAAATGGGCAAGCCAATTGTTCTCCAGCTCGGCGACGACATCAAGTGGAACCATGACCTCTACAAGGAATTCACTTCAAAGTTCGACATCCGCCGGTCATACAGCATGCCGCGCGCCGAGTTCATCCAAGCACTAAAGGACAAGAAGTTTGGCGACTTCTTCGCCATCTACCGCCCCTTCTGGAACACGGGAGGCGAGATGGGCAATTGGGACAAGGAATTGATCTCGCTTCTGCCCTCTTCATGCAAGGTGTACGCCAGCGCCGGCGCCGGTTTTGACTGGGTTGACACAGAGACTCTCGCGAGCAGAGGTTGGTACCCCCACGACACGAGCGCAAAAAGAAGACCATGTTGAGGGTTCTTGACGCCTCAATTGAACCATGAGCCAGAAGCTGACCAGAGTTCTACTGCACAGGCATCATCTACTGCAACGCCGCCGCAGCATGCACAGAATCCGTCGCCGACGGCGCAATCTGGCTCATCCTCTCCACCTTCCGCCTCTTCTCCTGGTCCTCCGCCGCCGCCCGCTCAGGCGACCCAGACCAATTCGTCGACGCCAACAAGAACCTCGGCGCCGTCTCGCGCAACCCCAACGGCTTCAGCCTGGGCATCATCGGCTTCGGCAAGATTGGTCGCCGCATCGCCGAAAAGGCCCACAAGTCCTTCGACATGAAGATCCTCTACAACGACGTCGTCCGCATGCCTGCCGATCTTGAAAAGTCTTCCAACGCGACCTACATCAAGGACATGAACGAGCTGCTCGCCACGGCCGACTGCGTGTTGACGGCGACGCCTTTTGCGGGCAAGACGCTCCTGGACGCTGCTGCGATTGCCAAGATGAAGAAGGGCGCCAAGCTCATTAACATTGCGCGTGGAAAGCTCATTGAGGAGGAGCCGCTTGTTGCCGCGCTCAAGAGCGGACACCTCTCGGCTGTTGGCTTGGACGTGCACTACAATGAGCCTCATGTGAACAAGGAGCTAATTAAGATGAGGAACGTCGAGGTTCTGTCGCACAACGCCGGTGCTTCCCTGGATGCCCACATGGGTTTCGAGAGGCTTGGTATGGAGAACATTCTCTCCTTTGCGAGCACCGGCAAGGCCGTCACGCCTGTCAATGCCCATCTGATCAATAAGAGCCGTCTGTAACGAGGATACGAAATTATGAAAATGGGGCCTGGATTGTAGTATAACCACGGAAAACCAAGGAGTTACATATTGGATTAATTGAACAAACTGAAGTTCTGTTTCAAAGTCTCTGTACCACGGCATCATATTTTTGCTCGGTTGTAGATGAACGGTGATGAAGTATCGCTCACATGTCATCGATCGAACTGAAGTGCTGTCCAAGGGTCCTAGCCAGTGATCATGAAAACGAAGTCTAAGATTGAGGAAGAGTCTCGTTTTGTTAACTCACACCAACTATCGATCTCCAGGAAGATCGTTACCTATCTTCAAAGCATCCCATCAGGATTATCTATCCCTACGCCATATGCTTCTTCATCTCCTCCACAATCGGTCCCTCACCCCACCTCAACTTCGCCAACCACCCCCCATCAATCAACACATCCGTCCCGTTAACATACCGACACCCCGCAACAAACCCAACCGCATCCGCAACCTCTTCCGCCGTCGCAGCCCTCTTGAAAGGATGCGCCTTCATCATCTCCCGTATCCCCGCCCCGCTCGACCCCTCCATTTCCGCCGCCAGCATCTTGGTCTCCGTCATCCCCGGCGCAACAAGATTCACCCGCACGCCCTTTCCTGCGTACGCATCTGAAGCAGCAGCCGCCTGAACGCGTAGACTATTTGCCTTTTTCGCGATGCAGTACGCCGTGACGCTGACGCCCGCTACAAGCTCATGGAGTTCCTTGTTCTCGAGGAGGGATGTCCGCGGCGCAGTCGCGAGGTGTCGTTCGAGGTCCGGCGAGAGGGGCGGGATCATGTGCTGGCCCATACTTCCCACGCAAACGACCGACGAGCCGTACGGCATCTCGACCTCTTTCCCAAACACTTCAATCACGTTTGCCGTGCCGACAACATCAACAGCGAGAATCACCTCTGCCGATCCCATCGTTGGGCTGAGTGCCGAGGTCAAGACGACCGTCTCGATAGCCCCGCCCAGGGACGAGGCCTTTTTCGCGAGGGAGACGACGGATTCGTAGGATGTCACGTCGACTTGCTGCGTCGTGACTTTGTGGCCTGCTTGTTTGAGGGACTCGGCGCCGGCGGAGATGGTGGACGGGGAGCGGCTCGCGAAGAGGATGTGGTGGCCTGCGCCGAGGCGATGGGCTGTTGCTAAGCCGATCCCGCCGCCGCCGATGATGACCATGATTGGGAGTGCGTCTAATGCCATGGCTATGGTGCTTTAACTAGGTATCGGTTTTCTTACTCGACATGAAAACCCGAGATAGCTGTGTAGATCCTCTCCCATGGAAACTTCGTCGATTTGCCGAAGAGTTAGCTCGCGGAGCTATGGCCATTTAAATAGGCCCGCTTCAGGACTCGGAAGCTCGGTCTCGCTTTAAAGGCGAAGGAGGTAAGATGTTCAACTCGTTGGAGTTTGTCTGAAGCTTTTGCCTGGGATATCAGACGAGTTTACCCAGCGGCGCGTCTATTTCCCAAATGAAGACAAGGGAAGCTTCCATTGACCAATAACATCTGGCAATGAGTGTTATCACTCAAACTTTAGGTTGAACTCTCAGTGTGTGAGGAGAGATGTATTGAGCACACACCATCCCTCATCTCTCCTTCTTCGCTGTCAGAATCATGTCTTTGGGCTGAGAATCTGCTCTCTTAATGCAACGAGATTGGGGACAAGGTTCTGTGATAAAATGGGGCCTTCAAGCATTTTTAAGCAGAATAAGCTCACTATCCATGCTGGTTGTGATTCTGCCTGGCTTTGCCCAAGCTTCCCGAGGTTGATCGACTTTTCAGATTCGGCCACACGGACTTCTGAGCCGTATGTTCGCGGTCAAGCTGGCATCAACTACACACTAGATATGCAGTATGTACAACGAGGAACGCATGTATGTTCAGAGCACATCAGAGAATCAAAAGGCTGAGTGAGTACGATCAGATCACGCGCACACGGGACTGAATATATTTTTTGCAGGTTGTAGGATTCTTCTACTGTCTGGCTTATCCCGAGTTTGTCTAGCCATCTATCATGCTGCCAGAACCATCGGAAAAGGTATCTTCATCGCCCGTCAATCCTCATTATCATCATTGATCCATCCCTATTGTCGATGCTTCGTATGTTGCCCTTTCTCAGGTTGAATCAGTGTGGTAGTGAATCAGTTCGGGAGCTTGTCTCCAACGCACTGGTCCTGAGTGACAGCACCCATGTCCATGAGTCCCTCGCCAATGCAGCCAGGTCGAATGGTGTCAGGCACATCCGCCTGATACATCCAGACCGGACCCTTCTCCTTGGGCGTGTCATCGGGCTTACCATTGTAATACCAGTCGAACTCCATGTTGGAAACTCCACCCTCTCCAGCACAAGAACGGACCAGCTTGGAGACATTCTCCCCAAAAGTGCCAATGACACCGTCCTTGAAGTTTGAGCCGCGGATGTAGAGCGCTCTCTTGCCCGGGACCTTCATGTTCCAGAAGTAGCAAGTGTTCCAGACCCAGCCTTGTTGAATGCTGTCGATGACGCTGTGAGCAAGCGCCACGCCGGGGGCTCGGTAGACAGGGTCTTGCTTCTCCATGGGCAAGGGAAGACGAGTGCGGCAGTCGGTGTAGACGAAGATGATGACGCCGTCAGGGACCAAGTTTCCAGACCATTGGCCATTCATTTTCTCTCCCTCGATCATCCACATTTGGTTATCGCAGGACTTCCAGTTGATGGGTTGTATGCCTTCGACAGCGCAGGAGTTAAGATCCCAGATTGTAGGTTTTCGGTTGGCAGTGGTCATGCCACCACTAACGGAACATTGATGTTAGTAAAGTAAGTCACCATCTTATCAGCGTGAGCTTTGGATGCTCTACTTACCAGACAACCTTCTTGACAGGAACAAAGGTGAAGTAGCCACATTCACCCGCTTCTAGTTCGATGTCCCACTTCTTGCCCTTCGCTTGGCCGTAGTTGTGAGACCAACCGCCAGAGACACCAACCTTGAACGCCTTCAGGAATTGAATCTTGGTGCTTGCACCAACACTCCAGCCTGACCCCACTGACTCAGAATCAGTCATGCCGCATTTGATAGGAGAATGACAGTCGGAACTCGGGAAAGGAACTTCTTGAGCCCACTCGAAAGCGGTTCCTATTTAGGAAAGACAAGTCAGCATGTATTTGAACAAGGCAACGTGAAACTTGAAAACAACAAGGTTCGTCAGATCTGAACTCACGAAGCTGACAGAAGGAAGTGCATCCGTCGTACCACCATCTCGAATCGCCACCAGTGTCCCAGTTCGCACAAGTGTCAAACCTCATCTTGCCTGCCTTGAATGAAAGGAACTTGTTCTTGGGAGGACAGTCCTCGGCCTTGTACTCGTAATAGAGCGTGGCGGGCTTGGTCTTGTCCGAACAGGGCTCGACGGAAGCGGCATTCATATGCTCGCTACTGGCCTTGGTGTTGGCACGGGAAGAGCCGTTGCGATCCTCGGGGCGAATGGCCCAGAGCGGCGGGTTCGTGGGCTCCCAAGTGTAGTTGAGAGGGGCGACGGAGGTGAAGTTACCGATCTCGTTGTTGCGCTTGCCAACGTTGAAAATGTCGTTCTCAAGGAAGCGCTCACGATCCTCGGGGCGCATGGTCCAGGGGGGAGGGTTAGCGGGGTCCCAGTCATACTCGAGCGGGATGACTCGGCCATCCTGAGCAGGGGCGCCGTCAACACCAAGGAGGAAGAGTGAAATGAGCAAGAAGATGCCCATCATGACTCCCTTTCCCTCGGGTGAGGCAGAGGCGAGACTGAAAGCCACCATACTTTCTAGCAGAGCAGAATGGTGAACTTGCGTGAAGGAAGTTGTTGATTGCGCAAAACGGGGATAGAATATTGACTGTGAAGATGGTGCAGAGAACAAAGAAGTTGGAAAGTTTTTGTTCCGTGAACTAAGGGGAAAGAAATCTCCAGGTTTGAGGTGCCTGGAGAAGAAGGTTGTGTGTTGGAGGGATGTGTAGAGGAAAGAAAAGATTCGTCCTCCAGAAGCTGTGAAATAATGAGATTTGTGGTAAGAGACAATGAGCCAATTCTCAAGCGAGGCGGTCAGTGAGGGTATTCAAGAGGCTCAAAGGTGAAGGAGGCGAATACTCAACGTGATTAAGAGGGAAGGTGCAATGCAGGAAAACTCATTCGCTCTTTCCCCTGCTAACGAGGCTATTACTTGGTTTGATAAACTTACCCAGTCCAGTTGTGACTACACATTATGTTTCAACATCGCTTTCTCAGCAAATTTATTCCAGGTAGCTAGCTATATGTGCATGTGTCTATCGATTTATGGCACGACGTGGAGGTTGTGTGGGTAGTAAGAATGCATGTCACTCTTGGATTTTGACCACAAACGCGTAACCTCATCATTGCGCGGCCACAAGGCACATAAACATATGTGAAATCCTGATTTTCTTTGCGAGGTGCATTTAAAGGCACCAAGAGACTGCCTCATATTAACGACGTAGCTAGGATCCTACGATGTTTGAGTAAGCAGCTAGACACCAAATAATGTACAGGAGACAACATCAATACAGCTCTCAGCCTCTCTCATAGATCTTCCTCGGCTAGCTTACTGTGATGTTCTTGTTCCTACTTGAGCTTGCATCAAATACGGCTCCTGGATGAAGATATCAACACTCTGTGCAGACAGCTTCATGCAAAGCTCTACATCTGGAGTTGCACCAAGTTTGCTCAACTGTTTGCGTTTGTCCCTTGCATACGAGTGAAGAGCACATGGCCATAGCATTGAAGGAAGATATCTATCCTTGCTTTGTGTTACTCGTGTTACTATAAATGATTGTAAAGCTCTCTTGAGATCCTTTGCCTAGCTAATCCGGAACATATTAATCCTCGTTGGAGGGGACAAGGAAACGAACACCGAGAGCACACGCCGAAATTTGTTTTTGTAACCAGACCATGAAGCATACGTATCATGTTTTTTCCCCCTTTACGCTCTCAGATGTGCGTTTTGCGAACCCACAATACCTGCCGTGTTT